ATGTTGAGAGCCTCATGTCGTGTGTTCTATTGGAGTTAGTACCGCTCGCTATGTTTATTGCCTCTTTCTATTGCTAGCTACTCATATGCTCTGGTCATGACCATGCTTCGCCTCATTTCCATCATGTCTTTGAGTATGTTCAGGGTAATACCCTCATGCAGGTACGGTACCGGTTTTCAAGTCATCACTCACTCAAATTCTCGATTCCCAATTTCCAAATCCCAAATCCCAATAGATCTCTCCTCATCCAATTCATCCATCCAATGAATCATTCTTCCATTCCACTCCGAAACAAAATTCCCAATTCATCCAAACCAGCCCAAATGCGAAAAAAAAAAAAACATCAACCAAAAAAAATATTAAAAAAAATCAAAATTCAACCATCCATATTATCCAACCCAATCACGGCTATTATACATCCATCCATCATTAATACAAGCGAGACAAACAAGAGCCCGCCATCAAAAGGTTCAAACCCCGTTCCTCATATATCACACACACAATGTAACGTAGCGAAAAGCGTGGTAGCCCTGTATGCCCTATCAATCAATCCATGGCGCGCATCCACCCAGTCTTGTCAGCCAGACAAAAAAAGAAAAAAAAAGAAAAAAAAAGAAATCCCTCCGGCTCAATTCATTTCATCTCATTTCTATAGCTTATATTCGCGTATACCATATCCCAGCACCCGGAATTATATCCATGTTCGGTACCGTACGGCGTTTTATCCTTGGCGGTGGGGTGTAAGTTCTGGTGGAGCACTTGTGAGATGCTATTCGGCCCGGTCGCTGGCCATGGATTTTTTGTTTGTTTGTGATGAATGAGGGTGAGGGTGAGGGATGAGGGATGAGGGATGAGGTTTGCTTCCGAATATTTGGATGGGGTTTTGGGCGTCAAATGGCCTAGATCCGATCGATGGTTTGACAGGGAAGGATTTTTTTGGATTACTGGATTAGGAAGTGCGGAGGATCGTGGGCCTTGAGTGTGAGTGTGTGAGTGTGTGATTTGGCGTTTTATCATGTGATTATATGTCACGAGTGAGAATCAAGATGATGTTGATGGCTGGCTGGCTGATGGATGATGGCTTGATGAGAAGAGAGAAAGACTCCCAAGGTATCATTTACCGGTATGTACTGTAACTTCAAGCTGACGGCGTGACACGAGTATTGTACTGTATTGTATTGTGCAACCTCAGGCTTGATGGCAGCATCATCGTTGCCACAAGGAGCTGGCAGAATCCCCCAGTTCCAGACTACCTACTTGACTTACCCCCTTCATCTCCTCCATCAGAATCCAATTTTCTTTCCCCCAGACAGGCAGACACACAATCAATATAATTTCCCACGAGGAATAACACGTTCGTTTGTTCGTGCACACTCACTCACTCACTCACTCACTCATAAACCCAACCCCGTCCAGCACCCCAGGATTCGAATCCCCCTCCCCCCTTCTCTAAAATCCCGATATTATCAAAACATTCAAGAATCCCTAAATTACCACGCGAGCTATATCCATCCATACCATACATGTTCCATGTAAGGTAAGGTAAGATCTTATCGCATTATTCCACAGTGTATGTAGTACAGTACGGAGTACTCAGGGTACATACAGTACATTGAACTTCCTAATCCGTATAGTCTCTTTACCGATATACTATACTATACTATACTATACTATGCCATGTCATACAATGCTAGTAGCTCCACTCCCACGTTATTTCATGGGCTGATTGATGGCACCTGGTGATGGTTCGTTTCAGTTGGATGGGGTTTGAGATTTCGATTTTGATTTTGATTTTGATTTTGATTTCGATAGAGGGATTAGTTAATGTTATTGCATAGGTACCCTCGTCCTCCGCCTGTGCTTCTCGGGATATTAACATTACCTAGGATATGATACTATCAGAAAGGGAGGGAGTGGAAATGTCCGCAATTGGAAGATCGGTCGGTAGGGAGCGGAATCTTCCATTGCTTCTTTCAACCCCCCACGAGATTGATTTGATTGATAACCTACCCACGGCTTGGACATTAATATACAAGGAGAGCACAGTACCTGTGGTAATTTCTGGGTTGGGGTACTAAATACTAGATACTAGGTACATATACATATATACATATATACACAAATTAGATTTTTATTTCATCACATCACGTCACGTCACATCATATCATATCATATCATATCACGGGAACCCGAGTATTTTCATTCATATGTATCTCTAGCTATAGCTGTAGCTAAAGCATCTATCCATCTCTAGATGCCTAAAAAAGAAGAAAGTTACCCAGGAATAGAATCCTAAGAAATATTGTATTGTATTGAATTGGGATCTGGTAATATGGTTTGTGGGAAATCATATGTATGTGTATTCCTATTAGCTTCTTGCTCGCTTGCTCGCTTGCTTGCTTTTCATCCCATACATAAACCACAAATTTCCCCTTCGCAGATTCCCGAAACCCTAACCTAACCTAACCTAACCTAACTAAATGGTGAAGTGAATTATCAAATAGATAGATAGATAGACGGTCAATTACTCACTTATCTTAGTAAATCTATTTCGATCCAATCCATCCATTACTTCATTTCATTTCATTATATAGGTAGATAGGGAACGGGAAAACTTTCGGGTTTGTGGTTTTTGGTTTATACAGACAGATTGGCATATTATATGGGAAGGTTAGTCTAGTTATGTGTTTAGAGAGGTAAAGGGGAGTTTTAGATATATGTATGTATGTATTAGGGATGTATGTATGTATATATGTACTAGGGATGTATGTTATATTATATTTTAAATGATGAGATTGAAATTGGGATGGGGATTTATATCACGAGACTACTTCATCCGATGCGGACGGAGTCGTATTCAAGAGATCTGAAGTGCTTGGGATTAGATACTTGATGCTCTTTGCTTTCTGCTCTTGATCTGATATAGTTTTAATTACGAACAGAGGGACGGACAGACGTGCTCCTACGCGGAGGGTAGGGGAGGGGAAAGTTTCGCTGATGGTATATTGTATTGTAATTAGTCTGTATAAATTGGAGTTATAAAGTAGCGAGTAGGAATGGATGTATAAATGGATGATGTTAGATGTTAGATGTATTATATATCATATATCATGTATTCTACATTGTTGGATATGATCGGTCTGGAGTGGTGGATCTATAGTATGGTATACTATGCTACGAAATAAAATAAAATACATTTTTTGAGGTTCCTCCATCTATATATAACTACCAGTCCCGACGGTTTGAGTTGGGCTTGGTGGGGGATGGGGTAGGGCATTGGGATGGGCTAGGTAGTGAAATGAATAGGAAAATAGCTCGATAGATTTTAACTATGTACTCACTCTATGTGTTTAGGGATGCAAAAGGAGAGAGAGGGAGGAAGAGAGGGAGAGGGACTATACTAGAAATCTTTTTAATATTTTTGTTTATGTTTTTATTTGTGTTTTTGAAATAAATAATAAATAATATATTATATTACATTATTAATAAAATGAATTTTAATTTTTAAATTATATATATATTTATAATTAATATTTTAATATTAAAAAACACTTTTATTTTTATTATTATATTTTGAAAAAGAAATTAATTTGATAAAAATTTAAAAAATAATTAATAATGTTTTTTTATTTGATTATAATTTTTAATTTATTTTAATATATATATATATATTTATAATTCTTTTATTTAAATATTAATATTAGATTAAATTTAAATTATATATTTTTTATTTCTTATAAATCCTTTTTAATGTATCTCGATCAAATTTATAAAACCAAAACCGTCTTTTCTTTTCTTCTTTTCTTCACATTCCTTCATCCCTCCTTTCCCTCCTTCCCCGGACGCACGACATACCCGCACCAATCACACCAATCACCACCCACCTCGTCACACCTCATCACACCTCCTTCCCACCAGCTCACAAAAAATCCCAATCCTACCCCACCATTCGGGATGAAATAAGAAAACACCACCCACCACACATCACACAACATACGTTTGTAATACCCTCCCTTCTTGATCTCATCATGATTTTGGGATTATTTCGCAAATTCCCAAGTTCGTGAATTCAAAGAATATATTTGTGTTTTTCTTGGCGGTGAAGAGGGAAGATATTATTTTACTCGCTTGCTTGTTTTGTTGACTTGCTTCTTCGTCTCCAATATATACACACATTTCGTTCATCTGTACAAGGTATCCACGAATCATAGTCCGGAATCCAATCAATACAACATAAATGGAGTACTCACCTCCTCAAAACATGCAATGCAACAGACCAGGTTCTTGGATCATGCACACTCCCATTCCACCACCATCTATCTTTCAGCCCTCAAATTCCTTATCCCTATCATACCTCATCCGTATCATACATACCCTTCGTATCCGCAATACAATATCTGCAGTGCTTCCCCCTCCCAAGAAAATAGCTACCTTGGCGTAGTGAAAAAAGATGAGAAAAGGTAATAGAAATAGAAGAAGGAAAAAGAAAATAGAAATGAAATGATAATGAAACCAGGGAACCAGAGAATCTCGGTATGTGTATGTATGCATTCGGATCGGTAGATCGGGAGACTCGGGAGATCGGAAAGGGATGATGGTAAGAACGGCAGGAAAAAAAAAAAGAGGAAAAGAGAAAAGAGAAAAGAAAAAGGGAGAAAATTAAATTAAGTGAAATATAATTTATTCAATTTTATTTGTATCTTTTTATTTTTATTTCTATTTCTATTTTTCCATTTTCTTTTTGAGTCTAAAATTTGAATGAAATTCTGAATTATGAGATATGACTTTCTGAGTTATGATACCGATGGTGCAAGCCGAAGATTTACATACATACATGATTGCGCGAACCGGAAATCGGGACCGGGGAAAGGTGGTTCTTACTGGGTTATTGGGATATTGCAGGTCAGGGAGTATTCAGGGAGTTTAATATTCATCTGGATATATTACTGGGTTATTGGGATTGTGGTGCACACAGTGGCTTGGAGATATATATTTGTGGGTTGTCGGTGCAGGTTCTAGATCGTTGTTTGGGGGAGTCTGTTGGGTTCTGGATTTGTTGGGTGGGAGGGAGATGGATGTACATTGGTACTTGGGTACATGGATACATGCAGGATATGATATCATACTTCCCAACCACAAACCCATTCATTCCCCCTCAAGTCTTTTTAACCCCGCTCCCAATCCTCCTATACTTCCTTTTATCCTTCCTGCTCATCTTCGTTTTATCTCTAGTCCCTTTTCCGCCTTCCCAAAAACTCGCTCCTCCTCTCCTCCTGCTAATAACCCTCTCTCCACACCCTGCACACTCTTCTGGTCGGTAAGGTCCCTCCCTACTACACCATCCACAAATCATGCGTTTGGCCCATTCATTTACATGTTCTTCTTTTTCATCATGACACTTATCACATGCGTATACCTTTTCACAACAGCTAAAGCGAAACCAACGGTAACTTTTTCCATAGTGTCTACAGAGACCATTTTTTGGTAGAGGAGTACCTGGAGTGATACCGAGTGCTTCTTTCTTTTTTCTAGGTAGCAGGTTGTGAGGTGTTGCTGAGGAGGAAATTTGAAGGAATTTGATGGTTGGGATTGAAAAGGTGAATTTGGAATGACATTCCCTACAAACATTTGTGGTTGTTTCACCACGAATGGAAACGATACCTGGAGATGGGTAGACGGTAGAACAGATGGAGCATGTTGGTGTGAATGTACTATTTGTATAGTTAGATGGATTTTCTGGAAAAATAAAATGTAATGACTGACCTAGGTAACATATCACCAACTACACATCCTTCCAGATCTAAGAATCCAGCTCGGACATTGTTTGCATGAACCAAATCTCGTCGGTAACATATCACAAGTGCGGTTGCACATTTCCTACAGCTTTCTGTCTTTGCAACTCCAGTCTTGAGACCTTTAATTTCGGTAATTTCTCTACATCGAGAACATTTGACAGTGATATTTAGAGTAGTGACTTCTAACAACTCAATGCCATAAAGTTCGATGAAAGGAAATGAGATAGCTGTACCACGTTCAGGATTTGATGCTGGATTTTCAGGTTCGTGTTCAACTCCAACCCCTCCTTCATCAGACTCTGATTCATCACCACTGTCATAAGAGTACATTGAATCGGAGTCAGAATATTCAGCATCTTCAGTATTGACAATCGTCCATTCAGGTGGTCGAGCAATATACTGAATATGAGTCCTTTCCTCAGCTTCTTCAGTGGCCACACCCTTTCCTTTGAGATCTTTTGATTCTTCAACAACAGGTGGTGATGCTTGTACAACAGGGACTGGCTTTGGTTCTGTATTCAAAACATTCTTCGCCAAGACGTGCATATTCTGTGCGAGGTAATTAATATGGCCCATCAGGTTCAAGGCGTGTGCTTCTTCAGCTTTCTTTTCAAACCCTTTCTCTACAGACTTTGCTTCCGGGGCATTAATTCCTTCCAATTTGATTCGACAAGCCTCTAGTGGATATAGAGTGGGTACAAAAAGTTGAATGACCTTAACAGCTTTGATTGATGGTGGTAATTCCCCGCGTTTTCGAGGTTCAATTGGAATAGTATAAGCAACTCCATCACTGGACTTCTTGTAAAGGGGTAATCTACCCATTCTCGCTTCCAATTGTCTGGTCTCTACTTCTCTTCTCTTCGACGCCTCAGACTTTTCTGATGCAGTGAAACTTACAATCGGTTTACTTGGAGTTACCTTGGGTTGTTCTGATTCTCTTATTGCAGATTCAGGCTGAGGCAGTGTAACCGTAGGTTGTACTTCTCTGCTGGGAAGGGAAAGATGTCGCGTGTCCTTGTTCATGACAATTTTGACTGTCTCTGCTTTTTGTGCAGATAGAAATTCTTCCAGATGTTTATCCAGGGATTTCATCAATTCCAATAAGGTAGCATTTTCTTTTGCCTTGACCAGTTCATCAAAGCCATTTTCAACATTGATGGCAAAGCCTCTTGGAATATCTTTGTTTTCCACCTTCAATGTGGGTGGCGAGGTAGGATACCGAGGAGGTACAGTAAGAGAACATTCCAAAGCAGTCATCTCAAAAGGGAAGTCAGGATCCGATGGGATGAGATTAAACCTCAATATAGTAGTACCCTCGGCATGTCCAGACGGTCGAATTTCCTTGGGAGAAAATCGTCTTCGCATCTGTCCTAGCTGAAATTCTCTTGGATTTTCAGTTTGTGCTTGTGGGACTGGCTTTGAAACCACCCGTGATGCTGGAACCGGATTTGTGACAGCTTGTGATGAATGATTCTGAATCATATTTGGTCCTCCTTGTGTAATTTCCGATGTCGAAGCCTGAGAAACCTCGGGCACTGTTTTATTTGCCATGGCACGACCAGGAAGTTTCGTCGGGTCATGTATGAATGGACAACTGTCACCAGCTCGACAATTCCCTAAGCAAGCAGTATCAGCATCCTATCATCCTATCATCTCATCCTTAATTCCCTCTTCATATGCTTTCACATGTGTCTCCAATATCACGTGGTGTAACCCAAGATATAGCCAATGGTCGTGATACAAACGCCTCATGACGAACGCCACGGTTCAACAGATCCATCCCCCAACCAAGTTCATATTCATATTCATTATCATGTACACCCCACGCTTTCCCCGATATTCGGTGAATCACGGGATCTCCACCATGACTGCACAACATGCGACTTTGCATAACACATATGCAAGACAATAAGCCCTCCCTTTTATCCCCAATTTCCGGCAGTCCAATGGAAATATTCCAAATAATCCAAATATTCAAGATAACAATTGATTGATCTCGAATAAAAAATAAAACAATATAATTTACCTGATTTACTGAAATAACGACATATCCTTGTTTTCAGCGGCTGTTGAGAAAGACCTTCCAGAGCTTGTGAGGCGGAATCATGTTCGTTTGTAATATCTGCCAACGCATCAGTCAATTGAAGCGAGCAGATGACCCTAGAAGACAGCCATGATATGCACTACAACCGGGTTTTAAGGTAGTTGCATAAGGGGAAGATAGGAAAAATTGAAGGCGGTGAGTATGGAAAGAGAGCTTCTGACCTGTTGATGTTGAAAGATTGGATGTCATGGTATCTAAGGATTGAGTTTGTATTGATGAGCTGGGCATGAGAGGTTTCGGAGGGTTATCACGAATGGGTATAGAATGATGTTTGAAAAAGACGGTATGAATGTCGATCTAGATAACAAATACGACTTTCTTCTGACGGTGATTCCCTAATTATCTCTCAGCGTCGTAAGTCGGTAAGACGGACGGTAAGAAAAGGTATTGCAGATGATATGTTTTTTTATGAAGTTGGTGGATGTTCTTTTGACGGTTTTCGGATTTCGGTCTTTGGTTGTTGGGTTTTGATATAAGGTGGTCATCGCGGGGAATCCATTCGATTTTTGATACCGAGTTGATATGATGGTTCCATTATCAAGTGGGGGGAGATTGATAATTGCTAGAACGTTGGAGGATGACAAAAATGAGTCGAAATCAGCCATTCTGACTTTTGTTATGTAACCATGACTCCAATGTGCTTCGGTTTTGAGTCATTCATTGAATCATCTACAACTACAATTACATTACAATTACAATTGACAATGATGAATATATTTTTTAATTTCTTTATTTTTGTCTTTATTTTTGTCTTTATTTTTTCTATTTTTTTCTATTTTTTTCTATTTTTTTCTATTACTTTTGTACTGTATTTTTATTGTTGAATATTTCTAATCCTCGATTCGATTCATTTTAAAGCTTATCCAGTAACTTTGGTCTCTCCCCAATCTTCCATCTGCCATACCCTCCATCATGGGATCGGGACATGGAAACCGATATGTTGTCACCCCCCAACATATACCACCGTAGCATATCTCGAAAATATATCTTGATTGATCGAAATAACAGAATAATAGAAAGGTCGAGACCATCAAACAATTAACAATCCCTGAATTCCACCCCATCAGTCAGCATCCAAGAAGATCAAAAGCGATATGTCAATATGCTGAACATCGAGATTTCCAATCTCGTCGGACTCCTTTGCCGGTCGGGTCGGTACTCTCACATGTCATGCCTGAGCTTGCATAGTATTGATATACAAGTCAAGGGTCTCTTACCATTGACTTTTGAACATTGGACATGACTTATCTAAGTATGTTCATCGGCGCAGACACGAGAAAGCCTTCCCCCATCTTCTTACTCATTGCGGTCTTCTACTTGGTGGCGTATGTATTGAGGTTACTTTACCATTGATACTCTTACGCCACAATATATAAATAATCTAGACGTTCCATTTCTAAGATTGGAGATAAGAAGGTCTATTGGTCTTTGAGTCTCTATTGAATATACCCTATCACTATCTTCAAGTCTCGGAGTCGTGAACTTGGGGTGGTTGGGTCGTCTCAAAGCCGAAAGTTTTTAGGGTTTTGATTGGTCTAGAAGTAAGGGCGTAGGAATACTTCAATATTTATTTACGTCGTTACATTTCTGTACATTTTCTCTCTTCCTCTACTTCTTTTCAGCCTGGCATCGAAGGGTATACTTGGTCAGGATTCACAAGATATGGTCCAATACTTCTTGAGTTCTTGGCACTGTACCTGTAGAAGCCCTTGCCATGTCCATTTCAGCGCTAGTTCAATAGACGAAACCAAAACGGAGTCTCTTATTTTGGAGATTGGATGGTTCGAACCCTGGGGTATTGGAACTATTCATGGATATCTTCTGCAGATTAGATTCAACACTTCTTGGAAATATTATTGTTCATCTACTAGGTGAGCAGGGAGTCGCTTTCAGATAGTTACTTTATGATTGCATTACAACGGATATTTTACTCCGTATCTCAGACAACCCCCAGACCTACCCGCGGGATCATCGTCCGCATGGATTTATACGTGTAGAGTAATTCCCCAATTGAGTTTGAAATTGCCGGACGGGTACGGATGCCGACCCTTGGGATTGTAGGATTCAACCGCCTGTTCAAGAAGTCCTTGGTGAAAAAGATGTGCCAATTCAGTTCATCTACATGGTACTCCTCATTTCATATCACATTTTTACCACATCATTCAAGAAACATATGTTCTGGAACCATAGGACCTCGTCAAGCGATATTATCAATCTTGAGACCACCACCCCACACTCCCCTCATTTTAGATAGGAACAATGCACAATGCAGATATTCATATGAGCTGGATGTGCTTTAAATTATGTATTTGAAGTAGTTTGGTAGCAGTGTATCTATCCCAGGAAAAGGTCAATACTGATTGGAAATATGAGCGACAACCTTGACACTTTCAATGTGCCAAGCTTTGATGCCGGCCGCGGAGAATCTAGAAGGAAATTAATACCAGGCAATGATGATAAGCCATTATTCTCCTCATTTTTGAGACCATGCACAGCTGCGAGATGCCAGTTTACGAGAAGATTCCCCGCAAGTGCTGGGAATTGTTAATGTGATCCTTATGTCCAATCTGTGCCGATCTGTATCTCGGCCTTGGATTGAAGGCTTGTGAATAAGCAGACAACTCAAGGTTTATTCTAATGATGATTAAAGATTCGCCTGACATGAAATATGTCTTTCCTTGCGGAGAAGTTGTAGTATTGGATGTCGGCGGGTAAAAAATCCAGTTAAATCTAAGTCGTAATCTAAGACCTGAGGGAAAGCTACAGGTTTGGATTTTTGGATAAGAGAGCGATACTAATTCGCTTACCTGCACAAGTAACTATAACGTACGAGCTAGAATATGGGTGCCAAAATCGTTTAAAGGGGATGAGTGTTGGGGAAATCTCGCTACCCCGCATTTATGTGCAAAGCAAGTGATTACTTTCCATTTCTCGTATTTCATACTAATACTGTCTATTCCTACGACCCTCTGTGCGCTCTGTGATAGGCTCTTATATCTTGCAAAGCTAGCTCTATCAACGCACCAATGCTAAATTGAGCCTTCAGCGTCCGCAAAGCTATATCTGGGCCGTGACTATAGCGTAGTAATCGTTCTAGACACCTAGTAAAGTCTTATCAGGTATTTTATACACGGGAAAAATTATGAGGAAAGCTGAGTAGATTAAAAGGTGTTGTGAGTGGTGATTGATGATCTCGAGTGTTCGGATGGAATTGAATGGTGTAGGCTCTGGTAACCTGAAGTATCAAGGGATGTGGAAAAAGTTGCACCGGATAGAGACTCTGACACGGATGTAGAAGCAGAGGGGTGTAAATTTAGATGCTGAGGAGGAAAGGTTCAGGTTTGATATTAAGCGTGCTATCATTTGGGATTAATTTGAGCATCTTTCTGCAAATTTCAGTACTTTTGCGGCCGGAGATGTGCTTTTTCAAAGCTCTTTAAGAATGAGATCAACGAAAAAATTTATCTATCTTCCTGTCATATCAAACCCACGTCCCAGAAACGTTAAATATCAAGTGAATTGATAAAAAGTTCAAGGAGAAATCTCCTGACCCAAAGATATAAGACAAGCAGCCACTATTGTTGACTCACAAAAACACTGCTAAGAAAAGAACTCTGTGCAACCTTCCATGTTAACACGATGTAAGAGTTGGACCGATGCAGCGGAGAAAACAAAATATCGAATCAGTTCAGCCAGGGGAAACTCGGGTGATAATACGCTCCCTATGGTTAGGATTCTCTCGCTACATATCGCAAGACATGTCGACCAAGGCTTTGATCGCAAGTTTCGCTCTCTCTTTAGCTGTTCTACTTTTGGATCAAAGAGCCCTATAGTAAGGAAGTTATGGGGCGGTGGTGACGCCATGTAGTAACAATATAGTGGTAGTGTTAGCGGCCCCTAGCTCTGGTCAGCGGTGAAGTTCGTAGAGGATTTCGGGAAATATAACTGGCTCTTCACATTGCTTCGATCATAAATCTTTACATATTAAATGTAAGATCTTATTTTCTGTCTTGGAAAATAAGGCTTCGTGGATAGTGTAGATGTCCAGATTGTCAGCTTCGACCCATAGACGATGGAATTAGAACATACCACGCATGCAATGCTTCCAATGTTCGAGCTTTTATTTTCCAGGGCTGCAGTCCCTTTCTTGAAGTCGTTGATGAACCTCTATTTACCAAGATATAGCCAATGGTTATAACCATACAGGATATTGTATTTGAGAAATAAATGATGCGCACGTAGAAATTTCATCCATGGCTTCCTTGTTATAGACCTCTAGACGGATGGCAACGTTAAATACTGGCCGATGACAATTCCTTATTCTTCCTCATTCATATTCAATAATGTAAAAAGTTGTGCAAACATTAAAGCTGACTTTTGTTAGGCCTAACATCAACTTTAAGATGGGGAATCTGTCACGTCAGATCCATGACAATAAGCAAATAGGCATGCGAAACCGTACAATGGTAATGTGGGCTGATGTCACTCATCCCAGGACGGGCGAAGATAAAAATTGCCCATCAATGACTGGTGTTGTCGCTACTTGTTCCAACGATTCCATTTACTATCTACCTCCAGTGCGCTTGCAAGATAGTGATACAGAGGTAAGTCGATAGCCTTTCAGTATGCATGACTTTCATACTAATTAGTATACACAATAGTCCATTGTATATCTCCGGGCATGGTTGTGGAACGTCTAGAAGCATACAAAGCGTGGCCCAGGACAGGTTCTTTCCCAGATGACCACATCATTTTCTACCGCAATGGCTGCGGCGAATCTCTGTACGGCATGGTCAAGGATGAAGAGCTTCCCATGATCCGAGGTGCATTCACCAACATTACGGGAGTGCCTAGGAACCGGGCCCCAAAAGTCACGCCTCTTGTGGTGGGTAAGCGTCATAATGCTAGGTTCTTCCTCTATGATGCGAATTGACTAGGCAATTTGCCAGCTGGATCAGTATTCGACAAAGAGGTGATCCATCCGAGACATATGGAATTCAAATTGCAGAGTCATGACTCTCATCTAGGGACAGCCAAAACCAGCCTTTATGTTATGATTATTAACGAGAGTGGATATAATCTCAATGAACTCGACTCCATCATGAATTATTCCCTACTCGTCGAACACATCTCTCCAACTCCTTACACAATAAAAAAAACGTTTCACATATTCTAACCAACCCAAACTACAGACAAAAAAACCATGTTTCACCTGCTCCGGCGGAACCACAGGTCTCTCGATCTGCACACTAACTCGGTGTATATGCTGATATTCTCTGTGACAGACTTTGCTGCTACATGAATCCGGTATTGACTGCCCCGCATGAATATTTCGAATTCGATGCCCATAATATCCATGGATGATAATCATCTAAATAGCTATCGACGGAATGAAACTGTTTGGGTCGGAGCGCCTGTGGTTGTAACTACTACTAAGCCTCTGCAAGAGAGGAACCCATTGGTTAATCCGTGTTCGGAGGTTCTTGAGGATTACATGTTCTTTCTTTGAGCGGAAGCGACGGAGATGGGAGAGGTTATTGCGCTCCGGGTTGATGGTCATATTTTGGAGTTCATACAGGAGTCTGGTTATTTATCCCGACTGTCTTCTCTTCCGATTCTTATTCTCTCTTAATCATTTTACTCGTCTAGACTTCCTCCACGATTTTACTCACACTTGCTGTCATCAGGAAATGAATAAATTTGTACAAAAGAAGGATTGTAAATCCTGCGATTTCACACGAGATTTCGCCTTGAAATCTATAATTTAATCCTTTATCAAGATTTCCCTTCTGATTTAGCATCGGCTTCAGATTTGAAGCTGGATACAAAACTCTGAAACATACAATCTTTCCTTTCTCGTCGAATCCTCTTCTGTTTTTGGTTCTTGTATTAGATGTGGATTTAGTATTTCAGATTTAAGATTTACATTAGAACACTCAATTTCAAAATCTTTCCAAGAGCCTCATGTTTTTCCTAGGATACTCCAGATGTTTCACGCTTGCACCGTGAATTTATTGCCTCATGCTGAAAAGCCATCAGATAATCTACCTCATTAAGTCATCACTCGATGACCTGCTACCGAAGCAAAACTTACCGTAAGTTTCTTTTGGGTATCACAATCTCTCTTGAAGTAGTCTGAGTGGTAAATTGATACACTTATATCAAAAGGGGTATCGTGCAAGAAGTACGCATCTACTACCGTGATGCCCCTCTAGTATTTTCCTATCTCTCCTACTCTTCCTCTATTGGTTCTTATAATCATTATCATGCATCCTTGACAACCTACTTCCTAACTACTCAGCACTCACCACAACACATCAAAACATATAAGATCTCAACTCAAAACTTAAAACACATCCATCGACTCGATACCTAAAATAGTATATTTTAATCCCAGATTAATTCCCCTACACTTCTAGAGTATCTAATACAAGCTAAGACCAAATCTCCTCCCATGAAGAATCCATCTAATCCGTGTATCTCCAAATGCCTAGTCCAGTCATAATAATCATTAAAAAAGCGCATCGCTAACGTGCGTTCCGAAGTAAAAGAAGTATAGAAATATACAAGGAAGAATAAGACAACTAAGTGAATAAGCAGGCAAGTAAGTAAACCTGGACCTGATCCCAGACTTGGTCTGAGTATAGACGTAAGGAGGTTGTCCTTTGTATTCCCGCTGACTATCGTATCGGTCATCCCGAAGCCCCATCTACTCCCAACCACAGCAAACCTCTCCTCTACACAAAGCTTCTCCCTCTCAAAAACACAAATGCCTCCTTCTCATAACATCATCAATAAAATCAACCAACAACTACTCCCCAAAAGATACCGCCTCCAAACATGGCACATACACTAATGATACTACTAACACTTAACAAACTCATACCGCTAATACCATGTCCACTCGTGCAACCACCTGCTATACGAGCGCCTAGGACCATGGCTATGCCTCCTAGAATTGCACGTGGTATTGGGATGGATGGCATGGAAGAGGTGCTTAGTTCTGAGATGTTGAGGTTGGGTTTGCCGAGAGAGGTTATGGGGAGAGGGGTGGGAAGAGTCATGGTACGGGAGAGCAGGTAGGACCCGAGAAGAATACCAAAGGTGAAGAAATTTCCGCGAATTGAAGGGCGAGCTGTTGATGGGTGGCGGAGTGGGGGTTTTGTTGCTCCATTTCCGTTTCCGTTAAGGTGCCCATTTCCATTGAGATAACCATTCGCATTTCTATTTCCATAAACTTTCTCAGCCCTCTTCGAACTATCAGAAACGACATCTCCAACCCTTAACCTTTCAACTCCCGACCAAAACAAATCTCCCAACTGTTCATAAGCAGAACTAGCACCTAAAGTATTCTCCGTCAACCAAAGACTTGCACCCTGAGCACACCCAATACAAATACCACCCCAAGTAGGAGTCAATAAACTCTGTACTTGATCTTTACTCAACCAAGAAGCAAGTAGTATAATCCCCCAACAGAAGTTTTGGTAAATGTATACTGCTTTTATTTCATCGGCTTTCGGATCGAGTTTTTGATAGAGAGTTGGTTTTGCGTCTGGGACTGTGGGGGCTGAACATGTTGCTTGGGTACGGATAAAGGGACGGATTTTGGAATAGATGATTGCGCCTATAATAGCTCCGACGAAGGCGAACCGCCCGGATTGATAGCCTGTTACTACTTGTGGGAGAACGGTACCCGGGCAAGCTCCTGTAAGAGCCATGCCTATACCGAGGAGGAGTCCTCCGATGAGATTTCCATCGTAGGGGAAGAGGGATAATGAAGATGCTTGGCGGGGAGGTGCGAGCGTCGGTGATAGACGATGAGCGAGGAGGAATACTGCACTAAATTGATGTTAGTTAGGCTTTATTTTCTCAAGATATCTTTTGATTCTACAAAAGGAAGAAGAAATTAATCTTACGCGCTAGTAGCACTTGCTGATAGGAATACTTTCAGCATATGGAAAGATTCTAGCTTCATCTGCGATATGATGACGGTAGGAGAATAAACCCCTGCCGCTGTAAGTGATGCACCAAATAGTGCACCACTTAATATTGATCTTGCTCCTGTTGTTGATATTGAAACCATGGCGATTGTTTTGTCCCGAACCTCAAATTGAACCATTTTCCTGAAATTCTCAAATAGAGAATAATATTGGAGTTGATGTATGTATATATGTATGTGTATGTAAATGGGATGCGGATCTTCATGAACTAAAATTTAAGTTCAACGAGGGGATCGAAAGGCGTCTTTCATAGCGTCTTTGAGTCCTGGCACTAGGATTTTGATATGTGGGAAGTAGCAACTTTGATACCTCGATCATATTTGAGAGATTTGTCATTAACATATGATAGTGACAGTGATTCACTTCTTTCCAAGTTTTAATATGACATAAATGGACAAATCTTTCATTCATTTCTCATTTACTTCAAATCCCATTGAGCCCCGAGGTCCATTCACTTGCAAGATCCTCGTAAACTTTCCACAAATGTGAAAGGAGACTGCGAATAATGTAAGTTCCATCCACCTTGTGCATGAAAATGACATAACCGCTAACCATTACTTATTAGTACCTACAAGGTACATAGTATCTTCCTGTCTTTCCTTGTCTGATCAGTAGTCAAATTATTCTCTCACTGGTACCTTGAAAGTATCCATGAAAAGGAAGAAAGCCGGTCCCATCTAAAATTTTGAGGTCGCCGATTATATTTCCCCCTAACCAAAAAGTGGAAAGAGCCCGTGTGGGTGTAGGCTTTTTGAGAGGATGAAGAGTTCGTTCCATGAACCAAACCGTTTTTCTAACTTTGAAACTAAGAAAGTTAATTATGGAATTCGACGAGGCTTTAACAGTATAGAGGGAAGTGGAGTAAAAGTTTGCTTTTTCCTGAAAGATCGTTGGTGAGATTCCCGAGATCTCGGGAGAATGGGGTAGCCGGGTTTCAGGTCCCCGAGTAAGCATTGATAACACCCAAGAAATCTTAATTATCGGCGAGGATGCTACTGCAACATTTTGGATGCTGATATAACTTGCGCGGATGCGGGAATTTAATTTGGAAGATGCCCGATAGGTGTTTAAGTGATAGGAGGCACGGGTCGGAGTTATATGCTTACCATCCTGTGTAATGAACTATGTCTTGCCCTATGCAGATTAAATGAATTCACCTTGGCTCTCCTGTCATGTTCGCATATTGATTGACAGAGCGAATGATACGATGATAGCGGGGTCGGTGAGTACGAGGGTACATGAGAAGTGACTTCGGTAATGTAACTTGTATGTTGACTAGGAAGTAATGCGTGGCTTCGGAGATTCGGGGACTTGCGAGATGGAATGTTTCATTATTGGGGTGTCGTAAAAGAAGCTTTAGAATGATTAGAATCGGTGAATTGTGGATTTTTATCACGTCTGTTGTATAACATTGTATGGTTGATGGATATATCTATCCGCCGGTTTGTAAGATGTTGCTCTATAAGGATGATGGAAAGGATTTTAGAATGATTAGAATCGGTGCAAGAGTTCTGGACTGGGCTCACCGCATACCGTTCAAGTTCGTGACAGAGATTCCTGCAAATATAAGATTACAAAGTTAAATGTCGAGTAAGTTTTTCAATAAGATATAAAATAAACTAAAAATTCGAAATATCATAACTTAATAAGACTGAAATCTCAGGACATATAATATAAAAAATAGTATCTTGAATAATACTTTAATAAGAATTATATATTTAAATTTAGTAAATTTATTGATTGATTTTTAAAAGTATATGAAAATTAATATGGATTTATTCTATGATCGACCAAAGTAAGATAAATTCTCAAAACCTTATTCCTGATAAAAGAGAGCGGATATCATCGATGTTGGAGTAACTGAGTTTATGCTGTAAAATTACAAAGCACTGCTACCTACACACAGATCTCGTCGCCGCCACACATACCCATCCATCACGCAGTATCTTCATGTATAGCACCAGTTAATCATGAAGATATATTAAAGACCGAGGTACTGGTACATCGAATATGAAATATGGCATGCAATGCAAGGTAAGGTACGAGTACTCCGTACATACGGCGATGCAAGATGGGAGATTGGTTGGTGGGATACATGGATAGATTGTTTGTTTATTTATCTCCTGAGCTTCCCCAACAACCTTTTTACATTTACCCCTTCATCTTATCGATTATCGCCATATTCGCGGATCTTCCCCCATTGTAATGATTCAATCGAGGTATCATGCGTCGTATTGCTCTTGTTACCTCTTTAAATGATTCTGAAGGCTTTTCGAAAACGCCGATGAGAATCGAGATGTTGATTGTTTACCATCAAGAACACCATCATCCATCCAAAAATAAATCCCTATCCCCACAAACTCACACGGTAACACAAAACAACCCTCACCTCATAAATTACCCCTCCCGAAAACTTCCCGAACACCTCTCCCATGCCCCTCATCCCCATCTCATCACCACTTCCACTTGGTGTTCCCACTTTCCTAATCCATCCCCACACTCCCCACCGTCCACCATCACCACCACCACCACCATCACCCTCTTCAAATCCCACCATATATAAAAAATCCCAACTCAACTATTAAGCACATACTTACATCTCCTTCTCACAAAACCCTCTCCATTCTCCTCTCTCTAAAGCTCTTTAAATCACATCAACATCAACATTACAACTCACATCTTCTCTCACATAATACAATCATTCCTCAATAACCTTACCTACTCCCGAAATGTCACCAAAAGGACCCTATAAACTCTGTACCGTTAACAAGGTCCCCGAAAGAGCAAAGATTTTGATAGGAAGGGTGGTTGAGGATGTTAAGGAGGAGTATACGATTGTATATGTTAAGAATGCTGAGAGTGAGTTTGATTTTATGATTTATGATTTTTCTTTCTTTCTTTTTTTTTCTTTTTGGCTTTTCTGTTCTGTTCTATTTGATGGTGCTGTGGGGTGGGAGTTGGGGTTTTAGATAGTGTGGAAGAGGATGAGGAAGAGAAGGATACTAGGTTTTGGGTTTTGGTGTGAAATTGGATGAGTAGTCCGATCTGGAGGTTGTCAAATGCCAAATACACGTTGGGTTGAGTGAAGTCTCACTTTTGTAGTCCACGGAGCTGTAGAACATATAAAATCCTCGTTTGCGTCAGTCATACAGAGAATTGGTCGAAACCCTCGAACTTGAGGAAGAAAGTAGCACATGAATCAAACTCAAATAATGACTCGAGAGATCCGAATATCAACACTAACTCCCCCACAGGAATAGAAGATGTAAAAGCAATGGTCGAAGAGCAACAACCAGATGTCCTAGTATGTCTCATCCCTCTTTCTCCCTCCTCTTCCCTCCCCTCCCCTCCCCTCCATTCCCTCCTTCTCCCTCTTTCTCTTCCCACCACCCAGCCCAATCAAACCCAACCCAACCCTACCCCTCACTAACCTCCCTCCCCCATCTTTCCAGTTCGTAGCCTCAATGTGGACCTCCACCGAATCCAGCGAAATCCAATCCATCGCCCAAACCACCAAACCCGGTATCAAAACCATGGCTATACCGCACGGATTACAAGTCGAAAAGGGTCCTGATGCTGTTGTGGAGTTTTTGAAGGAGAAATGGCCTGGGCTTGTTGATAGTGAGTTTTTTTTTCTTCTTCCTTTTTTTGAGTTTTGAGTTTTGGGGGAGGATAGAGGGTAGAGGAGTGGTGCTGATTCTTCTTTGAAGATTAGGAGTGGAATTTGGGTTTGGATTCGGGGAGGACTTGATACCGAGGTAAGGGTAGATAGTAGGACGATGGGATTGGATGGGATGATGAATGGATATAGGATATATAGGATGAGAGGGCGTCGATGTAAAATGTAGATGGTGTTATATGTGAATTTGCCTATACACAACCGGAAAAAAATGCAAGGGTAAAGTGTCAATGATATCTAGCATTGAAATACTATACGAAGATAGAAAGATATGTGTAACCGCATGCGATAGAGTATATTCATTTGTAAAGTTATCATCTGTCATCTATCATCTATCCCATCTGCATCCCAATCCTAATCCCAATCCCAATCCCATACAAACGAGTCCGGTCTACCAATTTAAACTCGAAAAAGATTCTACCGGTCGTATATAATTTGTTTGTCCATCTTTGCATCCTCATCTTCCCTTCTCTCCTCCTCCTAATTTCCTTCAACTTTCCCTCCCCCCGTCTTTATGTCATCCTCCAAATCAACAACTAACCCTTTAATCCCTCATCTAAATTGACATTCCCCCCAAACCTTATTCTACCTTCTCCAAACCTCATCCTACCATCCCTTTCCCTCTCCCTCCTTCAGAGAAACAATAACCATGACCACAAAAAGCGTTACCAAAATAGCCACAAGTACAATCGCTACAAAGCATCCGCTTTTACGTTGTTTAATATATGAGGGGGATTTCGCGGAGGAAAATCTAACGCAGCAGTTGTTGTGGCCTGAGTGGGGGTATTAGTTCATGTTGAGGGAGCAGAGTAGAGGAATGGAATGGAAGAAGATATGGAGATGGAGATGGAGATGGAAATGGAAATGGGAATGGGAATGGGAATGGGGAGTAAAAGGATAAGATAAGAATAAGGGTGGCAAGGGGCATCAGGGAGGAAGGAAAAGAAAAAAAAGCAATATACCATTCATGACCAACGCCTCCTCCATCTCCCTCGATGCATCTGTAAAGGTAACACAGCAATTTTGTCTAATCCGCTGGTTTTCACCTAGTGCACCTGCAGCCGCATTTGCGGTCCTCAAATTGCGCAATTCTTCATTCTCCAACTACGTCATACCCCATTAGCTCATATTCTTCACCTATTTCCCTCCCCTCCATACCACACTACGGAAATAAGAAGAAAGCTTCTTTAAGGAAAAAATAATAAAACAAGAAAAGAAAAAATTTAACTCACAAGCAACCTCCCAATGCTTTCTTCCAATCTCTCCATTCTCCTTTCCAATCCCTTAACAATCATCAATCCACTAGCTCCCTCTCTATCCTCTCCCGTCTCATCACCCCCAGAAGTAGTAGTAGCCACCCCCCAAAGTTCTACTCCACTACTTCCACTTACATTACTCGCCAGTGTCCTCGTACTGGGTGTTGGACGAGGCGTGCTAGAGCGGGAATGAAAGGATGGGGGTGCAGACTCTATATACTGCCCGTTGTTGTACGAAGGAAATGGTGTTGTGCCATTTACTCCTGCTCCATTTCCGTTTCCATTGAAGTAATTGCTAGTACCAGAAAAGGAAGAGATTAACGCTTGACTGGGCTGACTCTGCCCATTTAAATGTGCAAGCTGACTCGAATGAAAGGAAGGTGGAGGAGTGCGTGATGATATGCTGGTAATGGATGGACGATGAGAAGAAGAGGTGGAGGTGCGAACTGATGTAGCGGTACCAGAATTGTAGTTGTAAGAGGGATTATTTATTAAGTCAAGGAGGATCGGGGGTGAGGATGAGCTGTTGGGAAGCTGTGGGAGATATGTTAGTGGGTTTTTGGTTGGATGAGGGGTAGAGAGATGAGGCGGATGCGTGACGATGGATAGCATTGGAAGGGGTATACAAGATGCTGTGCAATGTGAAGATAGTAAAAGGCATATGGAAATTGAGATGCCGACCAAGGAGGATAAAGTTCCACACATCAAACCGGGAATACATTGACGTGCAGAGACATAAACTCAAGCACAAGACAGTAAGAGGAAACACAATCCAATGAATAGCCCCTTCCCATGCAGTCGACTTAACTCATATTCATAGATATCTACCAAACCGAACAAAAGAAATAACATCAACACAATCCCGATTCCGAATCCCACAGGAACCCAACATCCACTCCCCTCTCTTCCCACTCTCCAACCTTCCGTACATTACGCAACCAAAATGAAAGGTAAAAATCAACTTACAGCTTCATATCGCGAGCGATTCATCTTCAAGTCTTCCAATCTTCCCTTCAATCGTCCACTTCAACCTTCAAGTCTTCCAAACCAATATCCCGATCTTCCCACTTTCGCTCCTTCAATCAATCTCTTTCGCGTACCTGAAAGTTTGTACCTGAAAGATCGGAATCCTACCTCACAATGCCAAAAACAGTGGACCGACCAAACTCAAATATTACCTCCAAAATACCTAGTGAGCGTACGTATGTACGTATGTATTTTACTCATCAATCTCCAAAGAAACCTCAATTAGACAACAATAACAGTAACGCATCAATGACAAGGAAAATCAACCAGCAATGATGACAGACGCTTCACTACTTTTTCTGCCGAAAACTCAAGCCGAGGAACACAATCCATATACTTGCGGTAAAGAAAGTAAATAGAAACACACGCCATATGCGCCGCGTCATCAATAAGCAAAAGAGAGTCAATTGAGTTTCTGAGCAAATAGCATTTCGTCCCATTATTGTGGCTGTAAAGAGTGTGGGGTCTCAAATTTGTCCAGTTACCAATTGCTGTTGTATTATTGGTTAAATCTGCGGCCTTACAAGCATGTGTAAATCATGTGAGGAGTGGGGTGTCTGGTGTCTTTAGGCAGAAGCATTTCAGATTGGTGTAATCTGTATGAAATATGAATGAGTGAAGCAGAGCAGAAATTGGTTTGGCAAAGTAATGTTTTGTGTAAATCGTAGCTAGATAGATATAGTAGCTATATATTACATTACTGAGATGCCATATTGGCTAATTAGTGTTTGCTAAATTTTAGTTAGTTTGGGGTCCTCTAGCCCCGCAAAATATACATTATCGTGATAGCAATAATGGCAACTTCCTTCAATACCTATCCGTACCATATCATCTCACTTTTTCTTCATGCTCTCCACAGACAATCCTTTTTGTCCATCTAATCTCTTCCCAATCTGTCACTCTCACATTAATAATGTGCAACAACCAAGCTCCATTTTTGACATCCCTCTTTAATCTTCCCAAACATCTTGTCATCAATGTTTCGCTTGACTCGGTGAAGACTTTACTCTCACTTTCTGCAAGACCAGTGGTCTTGAAGTTTGCTAGAATGCCCTTGGCAAATGGCGGACGATCATGAAATAAGTCTGCGAATTGGAAATGCTGCTTGGTAGTACCAGGTTCTCGGGATGAGAAATTGACACGCGCGAAGAGTTCAACAATTGCATCCTGACCTAATGCATTACATCGACCCCCTTCATTCAGCATCTCACCAATCCGGAAGCAAACACGAAGGATGGTGTGGGAAGACATCCCATTGACCGGGCATCGATCTTGAACTAATGGGGGAAACTTTGGGCGAGCGAATGGTGTTAGAGGTAGATATTCATGACTATCATCAAGCCATGTTTTTGATAAATTAGTTTGAACGGCCTCAAAAGGCGAAGGTAGTTTCCCGGGGGCTTTATTCTCTATTGAAGGGGCAAGAACGTCTGTGTGCTGAGGAACTGGAGTTTTGGCTGGATCTATGGCTGTTGACGTTATAAATCTGAAGATTTAAAATCAGTTGATCCATTCACAAATGATATATTCTATAGAGCATGTAACTTACCTCCAATCAGCATCTTCGTTTGTTGCTGGTGGCTTAGAGGGACTAGACAGATCAGTAGATTGTACCCGACGTATTTCACCAGAAGCAGACCCTAGGGATGTGGGTGACGAGAATTGAAGAGTATTATCGTATACTTCCCTATCGGTATCATCACCATCTGGCGGAAGGGTTAAATTTGATGGCGGCTCAAATGTTTCTACAACACCTTTTACTTGACTTGTTTCTGCAAGTCGAAGCATTTCTTCCTCCAAATCTGCATCCAGTGGGTAATCGTCCTCCTCATCCACTACAACGGATGAAGACGCAGAATGGGCGATTTCTTGCACAGGATTTACGGTGGGATGCGGGTGCATCATGACTGTGCATGCAAGGTCGGCCCTATATGGTACCCAAGGTGGGAGTGATTGCATCGCAGTGCCTTTCGCAATGTGACTTTCCGTAGAGGTTTCTGGTACAGCAGGATCTGTAACCAATGCTAGCAAATCCTCGTCATCAATATCATCGTCGAAGTCATCGCTCTCGACGTAATCTTGGGGCGCATTGGTCGGCTCTGGCTCACTATCACCAATGTTTAGTTGCTCAACTTGAATGTCTGCCTGACGTCTTACAGACGTCGACATTGGCGGGGGTATTGTCGAGTCTTGAAGGGTCTCTGCATGTGCCTGTTCTTGCTCGGAACTTGTGCTTGGCAGGTGAACATATACTTGTGGTTTATGGTTTTGCAACTCAGAATTCATACCGGTGAGCTGGCTAAATTCATTATTGCCAACCACAGGTGGTCCTTGCTGAACTTGCTGTCTATCAATGCCACTGAAAACAACTTCATTCGAAACATTTTCCAATGCTCCCACCCCAGTGGCAGTAGAGATGTACTCGAACTGCTTTAATGAGCACTCAACATGATCTGGAATTTGTTGTATAGCAGATGTTATTGCAGTTTTTGGGCGATAGTGAATTCCGGATACGTTAGGACAAGTAACCTCAATATCATTACGTTCAGGCAATTGTTTTGGAATCCATAAGGCCTCTTCGAAAAATGAACCACTCAACATGTGACCATAGTCCGTTGAAGGTTGATTTGGTTCTTCAAAGACGTGTCCATCATGGTACTGATTCAAGGCTACGCGATTATCTGCTGTTTTGCTTGCAACTCTTGGCTGATCTACCGCTGGATCCTCATTGCAAGGTACATATTTGAAGGCTGCTAATTTCTGTAAAGTTGTATTTGCTATTCCGTTGGAATTAAGTTTCAGCTGCTCCTCAGTTGTTGTGAAACCTTGTAGTCGATTAATAGATTGCGATTGCTCTCTTGGATGTTTTAAGGTGAAGGAAGGTAGTGATGGTTTGGTAATAATTAAGCTCTCAAATAATTCTGGAGATTTCTTCCGCTTGCTAAGCAGAGCAGAGGACACTCTCTTCTTAGACCTTTTATGAACTTCAGGTGATGTAGTGAATTGAGAGACAGACGAGCCATCATTTAGTTCGCTAGATAAGTCTCGAAGACCTCCGCTGACAGATGTTGATTGTACTCTAGACGGAATTTTGAATATGGGTTGCGTTCCTTTCGTTCCTTTCGTGTGAATTTTTCTCCTCTTCGGTGAAGATACCTCCAAGTGGTCAGAATCACAATCCTCCGCCGGAGCTTTATTAGACAATACAGAGCTGGGTGATGTTTTCGCACGGCCATTCTTTGAGGGTGACTCCGGTCGCTTCTTACCACCTGGAGTCGGAAGACTAGTAATTTCATCTTGAAGGTCGTAGATATCGGTCTTGCGCAAAATTTTCAATGGATCAATCGTTCGCGTTGAAGGTAAGATTGAGTTGATACTATTTGTATGCCCACGGTTGATTGAAATGAAGGATGAAGTTGGGTGCCTTAGTGTTCCTGACGCACTGTTCCAAGATGAGGTATTAGTGTCAAGCGATTAAATTATGGCAAAGCTTAAACAAACGTATATGTCACTTCTTCTTGACTTCTTCCTACTCTCGAAGATTCCTCCTCATTCCAACCTTGATAATGCGCCATCTTGACCGCAGTTCAATTCGTCAAAACCTCCCCTAACCCACCACCCTCGCTATTCACACCATCCCCTTCATGCCCCTCCTTCACGACTTTCCCTTTGCTTTACGTCATCAATGGCGAATTGGTAAACAATTGAGTATGGATATATTAATAATATATTGATGTGTTAATGTTGAGCCCAATTGAAAAAATAGGAGTTCTCAGATACAGTTATAAAAAGTGAGATGAGGAGTGAGGTCGAGCTCGAGGTTGAGGTTGAGGTTGGAAGTGAATAAGCTGCAGCTAAGTAACTCTAGCTCCAGGTCTAAAACGGGTGTATCGAGCCTAAGGCTTACAAGAAGTGGTTACTAAAAGAGCCGTCCCGCCCCGCTGTACTAGCCTAATTTAGCGGTCCAAAGCTCCCTTCACTTGTGATAAGGAGTAACAATCATCACATGAGAGATAATTGCGACCCAACAAACCCTTCACTCAAAACACCTGCAATAAAACAAGAAACAAGAAACAAGAAAAATATTGAGCTCGTCTCTGCACTTTGAAACAACACTCTGCTCACCCTATATTCACACTCGTCGCCGAGCCATCTTGACTTCCTTTATTTCACTGATATACTCGAGTACTGTACTACTAAAGAGCATCCAAAATCCCCCTCAAGCAACCCCACCTTCCACTTTAAGACGTGGCAGGAGAGTAGTTGACGAAATATCTGATAACCTTCTCGACAACTCATACTACATTTGGAACTCTTCAAATCAACATTATCCGCATCCACTTATTCGTTGTTGTTCTCTGGTTATATTTGATTGACTTCTTTACTCTATTATTGGTCTCTTGTTAAGCAATATTGCGGCAGAGCTTGTAGCGAAGCCAACCCTTTCATAGGTAGTCAACAGTCGAGGATTCTGACCTAGATTTGAAAGGCAAATATGTTTTCTTCGGTCAGTACTCCATGGCATTTTATATTTCCGATTCTTGATTCTTTCCCTTTCTTCACCTCCTCATCTGCCCCATTCTTGTCTAACTCACATCACGAGATTATGGAGACATATTCGTGATTCGTGAATTCTATGCGACTGATGTCCTCCTGTAATCGCAAGCATCGTGGTAGGTCTACCAAGGGGAAACTTCAACGCAGCCATGCAAGATCTTATACTGCATCTTACATTCCTTCTGAACTTCAATCCGATTATTTCCATAGCGGTCATGTCGGGAACCTTCTTTTTGGCAGACAGAAAACTACAGAGACCGAAGAACTAATATATGTTCGCCGTAAACAGAAGAAACCATACTCAGCAGTCACAGTCGCCATCGAGCGTCTCACGAGCGAGCAGTATGAAGATGATGATTTTGGTGGCATTCCAGAGTTGGTGGAAGTGATCAAAATTCAATCTACAGGTCCTACGGAAGCTTCTAGGGCTATTCGAAAGAAACTCAAGTATGGTAATGTACATCGTCAGATTCGAGCTTTAGAGATTCTGGATGGTCTTATCCAGAATGCTGGTCCAAGATTTCAGCGTACTTTTGCCGATGAAGCTTTACTCGAGCGTCTACGTATCTGTGGTACATCAGATCTTTCGGATCCTGCAGTGAAAGCTAAATGCAAGGAACTATTCAGGAACTGGTCTGTTGAATTTGCAGAAGTTAGTGGAATGGAAGAGGTTCGCGGTCTTTACAAGGTGTGTATCATTTGAAAGCCTCTATACCTCTTGCTAACACAATTCGAAGCAATTACCTCGTACCAAGAAGGTTGTCACTCAAGATAGATCAAAAGTTCTCCGTGAAACAGAGGAGAATCCTTTCCAAGACGATGAAATTGAGGAACCTCCTACGCCTGTCCCTTCCCAAGCTGGTCCTTCTCACTCACGACAAAGCTCTGTAACAACATCTACCAGAGAACGAGCATCCTCAATAATGTCTGGCTCTGCTAAGAAGTCTAAGAAGGATAAAGAAAAGGACAAGAAGAAAAAGCCCAAGCCGTTCAACCTAGAAGCTGAGAAGGAAGCAATGAAAGCCGCTATTGCAGAATCAGCTGTTTCATCCACTAACCTTTTGAACGCGTTGAGACATATTAATCGAGAGAAAGAGCGAATTTCTGAGAACAAAACAGCTTTGCAGCATTTTGATAATTGTAAACTTCTCCGTAGGAAGATCCTACGATATGTAAGTTTATTACTGGTTGCGAATTATACTAAGCTAACATTTCCATCAGATTCAACATGTTGAGGCCGAAGAATGGCTCGGAGGACTTCTTCACGCAAACGATGAATTGGTTAATGCTTTAATGACATTTGAACAGCTTGATAGATCAATTGATGCTGATAGTGATTCTGATGATGACATGGCCGAGCAAGCTCATCTCTACAGAAGTATGATTTCCTCCTCGCGATATACGAATATTAACTAATATCATATAGTGGCGGAACGAAGTAAAGCCGAACGTAGAGGTAGTGATGCAACACAACAACTTGCTGGTCTTTCTATTGGCACTAAAAGTCCGATCAGCCCTATTAAAACCTCCCATCGTCCTGCACCACCAACTCCTGTTCAGCCTACACATCCTCTAGTACCGGAGTCAGAGGAAGAAGAAGAAGATGAGAATGATCCTTTTGCTGATCGTAATGCGTTTGATTGATCATGGTTATCATATCTTGCATTGTGTAACACCATCTGGTGTGATAGATTGTTGTAGTTTGGAAGAGATGACTCTAGCCTCTGAGACGGTGGGGCGCATGGTGTTGCATTAGCATGGCATACGCGGAGGAGTATTTGTTCAGTGCGGCGGTGTGTTGAGTAATTTTTGGCATCGATGAGTATCAAGAATGTATTCAATGATGAGGGATGAGGTATCAAGGATGAATGGGTAATGAATTATGGATGGAAGAAGCTGGATATAAAAGTATGAAGTGTAGTAAAATCCAAAGTTTAAAATCATGATTAGTTTTGCTACTCGCCAAAAATCTTACGCAAGTCTCACTTCGATGATTGGAGTCGGGGCTTGGAATCTATCTCTAGCGTGACGGCGCCTGTGCTAAATTTATATGTGAGCACAGATGTTCATTGTTCTTCTAGAGAAGCAAGAAACCAGTAATTTACTGATTTAAGATCAGTAATTAAATGTTGTAAATTAATGAATAATAATTTATCAATAAAGAAATCCTAAAAATCTAATTTGTTGAAATTATATAATAATTAAAATTTTAATATATAATTCAATATTAATAAATATATATATTAGTTTTAAATTTAATTGATTAATCAATAAAATATAATTTATTTATTTCATATCATTATTAGATTATAAAGATTTATTATATATTAAAGAAAAAAGAAAAAAATTTGAAAATTCTATTTTTGAATTTAAATTTAAATTTTAATAAATTTATTTATTCATTACTTGATAGAATTAAAAGATTAAAGATTGAAAAATTAAAAAACTAAAAAAATTTTCAATATTAAAATTTAAAAACAACTTTAATAATTATTTAAAAAAGAATATCTATTACAAGATTTAAAAGATATTGTTTTAATACTATACAAATCACAGGACTAATAGTTCACTGATTTCCTGTTTTTATACCTAGCTAGTATAGGATACTCCCATGTACCCAGTGATTAAGCATCATAAAGCTGTAATGATTGATAGCCTCTCTTTCTATCACGCCTTAATTCCATATAATTATCTATTAATTAATTAATACCCACATGATTCTTCACCGTGCCCCTGTTTCCAAAAATGCGAGAATGATCTCAACACTCATCGGCCGCTCTGGTCAGATATATAAACCAGTTCGCGTTATCTACAAACACCCAAACAAAAAGCCCGAATTCAACATTTATCTAGCCTCTGGGTGAGTTTCAAAATCCTAATATCTTATGCTTCTGTCGCACAACTACCGACTGTATGTACCAGGCTAATCTGAGCAATGCTCTAGAAAGGATAATACGGCGTTTGTTTTAAAGCCTGTTACTCGCTCGGTTTTTGAGCATTCACAAGAGCTCAAGCGGGAATTTGGCATCGTTCGTCAAATACGACATCATGTAGATGAAGACGGGGGGAAACATATACTTGTCTACGACTATGCCGCATCCAACGTACTTGAAATGATAAATGACTGACCTCCTCTTCCTCTACAAGCAAGAAGGACAATCCTTAAAGAGGTTTGCCTGGCACTGAAAGCTATGCACGCGAGAAATTGGATACACCTTGGTAGGTTATCTTTATCTATTTGCGATTTTTGCCCAAAGCTATCTGCTGATCTCACTGTTGTGCTCTAGATGTGAAGCCTGATAACATCTTCATCGATTGGTTTGTTAATATGGAAACTAAATTCTACCTCGAGAAGGTACAATTTGGCGATTTAGATTGTGCTTTGAAGCTCGTAGGCATGAATCTTCTAAACCATAAGATAGGAAATGTGATGTGGCAAAGTCCAGAAGGACAACTGCGAGGGGAATGGGGAAGCATTCAGAGGTGTTTTCTTCGGGCTTCTGGTGAGTCAGCCCTTCAATCCTTACAGAATCCTATTCTCTAACAAATATGGTTCTCCCAGTGTCTTTTTGTGCTCACAGGTGTAGAATCATATCACCTCGACTTTGAAAGTCTACCTATAGAACCGGAGCGGGTGATTTTATACAAGTTGCTATCGAACTTTGGGCCGCTTCCAGATGCGCTCGTACAGCATATTGATGATGAGAAAGGAGGCGAGCTCTTGAAGGATCTTTGGAAAATGATTGAGGAGGATGAGGAGCGAGCTGAAGGGTAAGAGCATTTTGAGCAATGGACTGAGACTGATTATCCTAATCTCAATGAGGATGCAAAGAGGTTGATACTGAGAATGACGAATCTGGATCCCGGAAAGAGAGCGGAGATGGCTGATATCATGACGGATTCTTACTGGGATGGGGTTGGTTCTGAGGGTATTTTTGACACTGAGGAGTGTTTTAAAGATGAATGATGCAAATTAGTGGTTTTATTTGTGATAATGAAATGACTATTGAATGCTCTATAAGAGTGGCGTTCCTTTTGCATAACAACAATCCTCCTTAAAGACTTATAACAGGTAACAGAAATTTGAGCTGATTTATATAATCGGTAGAAGTAACTCTCATATGACTTGACAAAGATCAACCTCCCGAATAATACCCGGCCCCCACCCACCAATCACACCCATCCCCACATCCTGCTACATAGTTCTCAAAACCCTCAAAATATCTCGACTGTAACGGTCATAACCCCAAGACGAGCCCACGCTCCCAACTCCCCCGCTCCAAATTCTCAATCTAACGATTGAAGCTACCAACAGTGCCCAGTCCGAACACCGCGGTGACGATCCACTCGTGTGGGAAACCCACGATGCTGGTGTTGTCTTGAGCAATGAAGATGATTTCTTGAGGGAGGTTTCACTCTGCAGAGAGCTCTTCACCTTGGTGTGGCGGTATTGGATTACATTTGCTGTGTGGTTTGGAGAGGGGACTTGGGTTGGGTCTCTACTTTTTTTTTCTTTAGCCTCTCATTTTTGTGGTTTTTATCTTGGGGATTTTTGTAATGCTTGTGCCGTGAGGCGACAATAAATATATCATTTCATGAGTTCTTGGATTTCTTTTGTGATTTTTTAAAGTTATCGCCAGTTTCGCTTAACGGACCCACTTTAGTACTATTGCTTTCTTTCCCGACTCAAATTTTGCTACAGCTATGAAAGTACTCTATCCTAATGTCTTTAAACTCAATTGATACCGAATCTGGCAAATCGCTAAACATGTTTGTTTACATGGTCCAATTAAAGATGTATCCCTGTAATTTAGTATCGCTGATTTTCAGACCAAGAATAAACTCAGCATTTTAGCATGCCTTGCTGCTTCGTACACACCCACTGGGTACCCTTCAAAGTTTCATGCTCATAAAGTCACCGTCTGCCAATACAGCATTTTATTTAAAAGCATATCAAAGTCATATTCAATTGGAACGATGAATCTTTGAAGGGCAATTTTATAATTCATTATGATGCAATACTTTACTACACTATGATGCTTTTGAACCCAAATAATAATCATTCACCACCTTCATTCAACCTTCCAAAAGCTTACTTGGGTCCTCATCCTCTATAAGTATTTTCACAGCCTGCACGGTAATCTCCAAAACCTGCTGATCTCTCGATTTCTTTAAACATTCTTTCAGAGATTCCAGTCCGGCATTCTCCTTCACTTTTTGAATTCCCCTTTCCCCAACCTTGTTTGGTGCTGTCAATATGTTGAGTATGCAAACTACACCTCTGTGTCTTAATTCTTCCCCTTCTTCCGTACACAAGGCTAACAAGAGATTGACTCCTCTTTCTCTTTCAAGAATTGCGGTCACTGCAGTATCCCATTCTGTAAGACTTGCCAAAGCACCTCCTGCTGCCCTCCTTGTATTGAAATCTTCGGCATCAGTTAGAGCTAATAGGATATGTGTACGATGTGATGCTTGTTTGCTACCGTCTGAGAATTTTGCAACTCCTTCTGGAGATTGCATGAGGTTACAGATAAGCTCCACAGTTGCACGCGTCACCAGAGTATTACGGGAAAGAAGTAATTCCTCGATTTGAGACCAGGCTAGTCGGATGATTGGATTACGGGCTGAGTCATCTGTAGAAGCAAGGTTTGTCAAGGCTAGGAGAGATTCGAAGACGGGTAAGAGATCGCGGTGTTCGACTGTTGGGTCATCCTCCAGGAGAAGAAGAAGAGGTTTGATGGCTGAAACAAGTGAAAGAGGATTGGCACCTCCAAATACGTGTAGTGGGTTGGTAGATATGAGGATACGGGCGAGGGCATGAGCTGTGGTTCTTCGAGCTGGAATATTTTCTGAGGGGAAGACGGTGTAAGAGTGTAATAAAAGCTTGATTGCACCTTGTTGAGCCATTCGTCCCCGAATTTTTGTTGTTTTGGAGAGCGAGAAGATGATCGACGTGACAAGTGTAAGAGATGCTATTGATCCATGCTGACTATGGGTGACAAGAACAGGTATGACACCGGCTTCGAATACATTTTGGCATCTCTTGTCAACGTGGTCATCGTCATTGAGCGGATCTGGCTTGAGAGAGGACTTTGAGGCATTCGCATAAGCTTTTAATTGACCCAATTTCTTTTGTTCTTCGCTTAAGGGCGGTTGGTAGGTTGTAAGATTATTGAGAATACTGAGCGCTCCATAGGTCATGGGTGATTTAGGCTGAGCATCATTCAAAGATTTGACAAGGTTGACCAAAAACTCTTTATCTGAAGCCAAGTTCTCCTTGACTTTTGGTTGTAGCGAAGCATAAGCAAGACCTTCAATTGAACTTTGCTGAGATGTATCCGTGGAAAGCATCTTCTTCAACATGTCTGAAAGATCTTCAATAGTTGTACTGGCAGACTGATATCCTCCTCCAGATTCAGTGGCTGGTGCTGAAGGTATAGCCTTCACTTCTAAGGTCAGTCAGAATAATTGAAGAAAGAGGGGCACAATCAAATGTGGGAAGGAAAAATGCGCATGGAATCCTGGGATGCATACCTGAATTTTAGCCAAGACAACAGCTGCGAGATTCCTAACTTGTTCAGAATGTATTCGCTGTTGTATGGAGCCATCTTCCGCATTACTATCAACAGGAGACGAAGAGACTTCGGAAACTTTTGGTGGAGTATTGCTGACAATCTCTTCAAGCCATTTTGTACAATGCTTCTGAATAGCTTCCCGACAAGGAGTGTTCATACAAGCAGCACTAAGTAACTCCAAAGCAGCCTGTTCAACCTTTCGACTTTTCCATTTTCTCTTCATCAATGCACCAAGGCTAGGAATGAAACCTTCACTAAGAAAAAATGAAGCAATGACATCTGGAACAATGGAAAATATTGATGCTGCAACCGAAAACGCAAGGATCAGATCATCATATGTGCCTTTTGCTACACGATCATAGAAAAAATGAGAAAGATAATCAACGCCTTGTTGTTCGGAAGCTTTAAGATATGCAGAAGTGGTTAGTGTCGCGTGACTTCGAACTGATTGAGATTGTCTCATATCAAGATAACCTAGAATTGTTTCCAAAATATCTTGATCGATCAATTGAAAGAGAGGTTTATGTGGCTCCTTTGATCTTGTTTCTTCGGCGGAATCATCAGTGAGAAGTTTGGTGAGAGTGTTCAACTCCCTGCAAGTATCTTCATCCTCCTGTCCACCCTCGGTTAAACGAGCAAGTAGGAGGAGTGTCTGATCCTCAAGAGAATCATTTGCGGCAGTTGTAGTGTGAGGAACACTTGGATCAGTGCCTCGTCTTTCAAAAGATTGATCAAATGCTTTTGGCATGATTGAGAAGTATTACATATAAATGAAATTTAAGTGAAAAAAAAAAATGGAGTGATCAAGATGAAGAAGAGGGGAACGTCGGAATTATAAATTAACCAATGCCCCTCTTGTGAAACAACCTTGCAAGTGAAAACCCCCACATTTAGGTCAAATAGGCTACGTCACCTGATCAGGCGTCAAGCAAGGGCGATTCTAAGATTACATACATTCTTTAACCTTAAGATTTACCCTGCATGAAGATCTTCCAGCCTTGTTCGAAATTCATCAATTCACTCAGCCTTTAGGGAATTCCATACGAAATCACAAATAATTCCAGAATTCACCCTGCAGAAAAGGGAGATGAATCTGTAAATTATTAACTGTTCTTGGATCGGTTGGATTGTGAACACTAATAAGAAGATTTTAAGAACAACAGATTTTCTGACCTTCAAGTCTACCGGGTTGTCATGCCTGTAAGGCTTCCATCATGGATGGTATAGATGGTACAGATCATTTCACAGGAGGCGTTGAAGGTATGACCATATACAGTTTGCAGCAGGTATATGTCCTTTAACACAACTACAGGTCCCTCCCCTTCATGTCTCGTCATTGTTCTCGACACCAATCCACACGCCTGGTCACTCCTCTCCTCCACACTTCCTCTCTCCAAAGCCGTAGCCAACCTCCTCGTCTTCATAAACGCCCACCTCGCCATCAACAATGCCAATCAAGTTGCTATAATAGCCAGCCATTGTCACCGCGCAGTATGGCTCTACCCAGCACCACCCTCTGCCTCCGAAGATATAGAAATGGGTGGTTCAACTACTCACGGCCCTCCCGATGATGCAAACAAATACAGACAATTCGCGCTCATCGAAAATACCGTCTTAAATTCCCTCCGCAACTTAATATCTAGCACAACTGAACAAGAAGTTTCCACTACAACCACCACCCAAATGGCCGGTGCCCTTACCCTCGCCCTCTCATATATAAACAAACAATCATTAGCCTACAATGACGTCTCAGCTTCCGAATCTAAACCAACAACCTCCGATGTAAACACTTCAGATTCTACTATTGGCCTGCAATCACGAATTCTCGTAATCTCTGTATCCGGCGATCTCGCACATCAATATATTCCTATAATGAATACTACATTCGCAGCACAACGTATGCGGATCCCAATTGATATATTAAAACTCGCCGGTGATACTGTATTCCTACAACAAGCTAGCGATACTACGAGGGGTATATATATGCACCTGAAGAATCCGCAAGGATTATTACAATATCTAATGATGGCATTTTTGCCCGATCAAACGAGTAGAAAGGATTTAACAGCGCCAACGCAGGAAGTGGTAGACTTTAGAGCTGCGTGCTTTTGTCATAGAAAGGTGGTAGATGTAGGTTTTGTGTGCAGTATATGTTTAAGTAGTATGTGGTTTCTTTATACATACCATATTATGGTTACAACTCATCCATTTTGTCCCTCTTCCATCTTCTTACGTCCCTTCATGCATTCACACTGATACGCCTCTAGTATTCTGTTCACCCCCCGAAGGAGCCATCTGCTTAACCTGCTCCACGCACCTCTCCCTCGGAGACTATGGTTCCAAACCCGCCGTCGTCCCACGCAAAAAGAAGAAGAAGCGGAAGGTTAATGGTGCAGGGGCCGAGACTGGCAGTGCTAGAGGTACTCCTGTACCTGGGGAATGAATAAGATGAGTAGGAGAAAATGAATCATCTGGCTAATAATTGAATAAATTAATGGATAGATAAATGGATGTATAGATGGATGAAGAAATGTGAATGTTGTATTATACCACTTATATACTCCAAAAGTTCCTAAGGTTATTATTATTTATCGGAGTTGGGAAACGAAGGAAAGAAAGTGGGAAAGGCAATGGCTAGCAAATTGGATATGACATTCAAAAATTTGCGGTTTGTGGTTTGAGGTATATCACATAGGAAAGAGCAATATCAAAACTACACCAATGAGCGCATGCGTACAGAACAGTCATCAAAACTGAGCAGCTATACCAGAATGGTGAGTAAGTGTAGGTTCTATTAGGTTATGAATGAAGCATGAAGCATGCTTAAGGGCATAACATAGCAATAAAGGCTAAGCTATAAAATCATCTCTATCCATCTTTCCCTCTCCCATACCCCACATCTGATTTCCAAGCGGAAAGTGGTCGGTTAAGGGTAATGTATGTATGTTTGTGGTAGCAATATTCTCCTCCAGTTTGTCCTTCAACGTCGTTCCATTCCTAATCGTAAATTCATACGCTCCTTTCCTTCTATCGATAAAGCAATGATCCATTCTCCATAACAACGCTGGTAAAATAAAATTAGTGATATAATCAGCCCAACAAACGATTCCAAGGAGATCTAGTCTTTCACTTCAAAGGAGGAGATTAGAGATTCGTGTCAGGCGTGAGACTGAAAGTCAATCCTTCTCAATCCGGACCTTTCGACCTCCTCTGACAACGTTGCCATGATCTCCAAGACGGGACATGACACACTTGGCATCCTTCTCATTTGAAGCGTAAGATGCCAAGGCAAATGAGTCGGTATTGTGGGCAAAGTGTAAGAAGTACCCATACTGGGTCTTCTTAACAGCCATAACACCAATTGCACCAGCGGAGTTACTTCCACAAACACCAGGATGACCCATAAAGTCTGCTTGAACGAATGACTCCATAGCTTCGTCTTCATTAGCTTCCATGTCTTGGCCACCACGAGCTCGTCTGGTGTTGTGGTATAGTCTGTCAGCACATTTCTGCGAAGCCATGGTAGTTGCCATGTGTTCTCCTGTGCCACTAGTAACTGCAGCAACTGATACTTGATCCTCATCTCTCTCATCACAAGGAACTACAGCCGTACCAATGCCTACAAGAGCAGCAGGTCCAACACGGCCACGATGTTTCATACCAATTCCACCAGATGAAGATGCTGCGGCAATCCGGCCATACATATCAATGGCGATAGCTCCCACGGTATCGGTAATCAAATCTACATCCGCCTTCTCGGCAGGAAGCTTTGGAGCAGACTCATGAGGGCTCTCAATGGTTCCTTCTTGGGCGAGGTCTAGTGGTGTAGAATACATCTCAATAACCTTTTCGTGGTCTGTTGGAGAAAGATGACCGTCTGTACTAGATGGTCTTTCGATAGTAGATGCTGCAGTGCTGACAGATATATTTGGTTCGCTAGAAATTCCACTAGTAGTAACGCTTGGAGATAAAAGAGAATGAACGCGTCCCGGACTGCCATCGCTAAGTGCTGCAAGGCGTGCACGTTTTGCGGGTGTTGTTCCCACTGGAGAGCGGGAAGCTCCACGACCCGGCGTGTTCATTTGAAAGTAGCCCCGCCCAGGGGGAGTACCAGGACGTGGAGTGTGTGGGCCGCATTCCTGAGGACATGCACGACCGGGGGATGATGTTGAAGGAGAGTCGGGTTGCCCTTCATTCCATGTGCCAGTTATGATTGCATTGGTATGGTCCCTACGTTGTTTTGCTCTTACACGTTCTTCATATTCCCGTGTTGCGGCTTCATCATCGGCAGCTTGGCTACTATTCGTACTTGATGGCGTCATGCGTCCGCAACCCTCAGCACGACGCAAATCTTCACGCCATCGTATGTATCTTTCGCGGGCATTCTTAGAGCACATCATGTCATGTGGTACAATTGGTATGCCGTGTTCCCATGCGAAATCCGTCGCTCCTTGGCCGACAAGAAGATTTGGTGGGACTCTTCGTAAAGATAATGGTCGACTTGAAGCTTCCAAAATTAATCTAGCAAGACTGACAGGGTTCTTGATCTCTAAGAAGGTAGTGTTAGCCAGTGGAAATCAATTCGGACTAGAATGTATGGCCTTACGGGCGGTTGCACCACAGGCACCACTTCTACCCAAATGATCTACTACTGTTGCATCACATTCAACGATACCTTCAATTGATAAGTTACTTCCATATCCGGCGTTAGTAATTTCCTTATCTTCGAGAACTTTAATCGCAGCTTCAACTGCATCAACAGCTGAACCGCCAGCCTTGAGAATCCTCATTGCTGCGCGAGCGGCACTATATTAAGGTCAGCCAAAGTTCTGCATTCCTCAAATATCTTTCAAAGTTTCACTTTCAAGTTCAGTCAACATACTCGTTACAAGCTCCTAAGTGAATGTGCTCATTCGTAGTGCTGTGATAACCTGCACCAGCGTGCACAAATATTGCAGATACACATGGTTGGGATTGCACTGCGCGTGGTCTTCTGTTATCTGCTGAGCCATCCATTACTGGATTGAAACTCATAGCAGGCATCCTGTCAATCTCCATGTTTTGGTAAAAGGGAGGATTCGATATTAACGGGTGAGATCCTGACCATGGATCTTGTCGATCTAAGAATGGAGAAGGAATGATCTCGATATTATATTTCTGAAATCTGCGAAGTGGGTTAAAAGGATTGAAAAGTTCGCGACGGAGTTGACGTAGACGCTCTCGCGCGATATCGATTTTGGTTGTGATTAAGGATTGGTGAGGTAGAGAAGTGGATCGTGTAGTAAATTCAGACATGAAGGCTCGTAAGTGAGGAGTAAAGGTGAAGCGTTTGTATACGAGTGAATCCGAGTTTTAATATACTCTAGATGAGTATCTGGAGAAATGAGGTAACGGTGGGAACTCGCAAACAAGACAATTGACAGATGAGTGACAATTTGTATCTATGGCTTCGCAGTGATTTCAAAATGCATGAACTAGGGAGAACGAAGTGGTCGTGAGAGAAATATTCGAGGATGACCGTCTAGGATATGCCGAGTCTGTCTTATAAACCTGTATGAAAGATTTTCAACTTGGTTGGAAAACAATCTATTGAAGCTATACCAAATTAGCCATCAACTGCCATAAACACAAATTCTAGGGGTCGGTTGTACCGTAGAGATATCTTGGATTTCAACGAGCATCGCTCAATATACAAGAACAGAAAGCTTCACAATCATAGGAGGCTTCGGCTAACACCGAGAAATGATATTTTTTTCGGACGAGGGATCAAAACCAAAGATATAGAAAAGTGGCCAAGACTTCAGAGGCCCAAACAATAATGTAGGTAAATCTTTTATGAGATATGTTCAGAAAAACGAGTGTCGGTGAGTGAGTGTGTGGTTGTGGAAGGAAAAGAAATGAATGGTGGCAGTGGTGATGTTTCGAGTCGAGGAAGAACTGATTCTAGGATGTAGAACACTAGAAAATGCCTTTTGTTGACTTTGAATATGTCATGCACACTTTAACATTATATTACTAAACAGGCAGTGAGGTTGGAGATGAAAAGAGAAGGAGCGGTTCAATGTTTATGTTAACCTTAAAGAACAAGGAAATGATCTCATTTAATCAAGAGACCATCAATTCACCTGTTCAATCTCTTCTTGCTCTGAGAGATTAATTCATGTTTCTTCCCTTCTATCTCGAACACGTCCAACGATCTCTTCACAGGGAAGTGCAACATATCAATTGCAAATTGCAATTGAAGTCTGATGTGATCAAATTTATATGATGTGCACGTGATCTTCTATTTGATCGTGCCTGACTGGCTGTTGCTGCTACTGGTGGGGTTCGTTTAGGTACGCACCGCCTATGGGTCGTCATCTTGAAGCTTAGATTCCAAACGCCAACGATCGATACGGTCAATACCTGCTGTTATTCCCAGCACAAAATATTTACAATTACCAAAGCTGTCGCATAATTCCCTCGGTAGACCCGGGACTGCATTGCGCAGCTTTATTTCAATATGGCTTCTCATACGCCGGCCGTTGTCATGGACAAGTACGTTCGAGATCCCCACAAGGCATTCTATATCCCCGTGTCCCGAGGAAGGGGATGCTATCCATTTGTACATTTACTGATGCTTCTACGATAGCGGTACCGGATATTCCAAGCTTGGTTTGTTCTCTTTTGTCGACAAGATAAGCATACAATTAACAATGCATCAATTATAGGTTTTGCTGGCAATGATTCTCCTCCTTCGTTTTCCCTACCGCCATAGCGACAAAGGTGCTGCAGCAGCAGGTGCGGGTTCAGGATCTGGCCGTCCTGCTGTTGGCAATAAGCCTTCATATCTTACGGGTGGTGCTGGACCAGGAGGACATCTCTCGATGAAACGTGGAACTGAAGATCTGGACTTCTTTATTGGGGACGAGGCATTAGCAGCCGCAAGTGGACCAGGTGCGCATGAGCTATAGAATATATGGAATTGGTATTGATGATGGCAGGTTATGGCATACACTACCCAATTCGCCATGGACAAATTGAGAACTGGGTAAGGGGCTCCAAGGTTACGTTTAGGATAAAATAGCTAACATCTGTAGGACCATATGGAAAGGTTCTGGTCCAATTCGATATTTAAATATCTCCGTGTCGAGCCAGAAGACCATTATTTTCTGTTAACAGAACCCGTATGTGCCCAATTCTCATATTTACGTGAGAATTTCACTTACCAAACTTTCCCAGCCACTTAATGCACCCGAGAACCGTGAAAATACCGCCGAAATTATGTTCGAATCCTTCAACTGTGCCGGTCTTTACATTGCCGTTCAGGCTGTGCTCGCGTTGGCTGCGTCGTGGACTTCATCAAAAGTTTCTGACCGATCCTTGACGGGAACTGTAATCGATTCTGGAGACGGCGTGACCCACGTAATTCCCGTTGCAGAGGGATATGTTATTGGATCATCAATCAAATCTATACCTATCGCCGGTCGAGACATTACATACTTCGTTCAATCGCTACTCCGAGACAGAGGTGAACCAGATTCTTCCTTGAAGACTGCTGGTGAGATTAAGGAGAACTATTGTTATGTCTGTCCAGATATTGTGAAGGAATTTGCTCGTTTCGATCGCGATCCTGGAAGATTTGAGAAGCATACAGTCACGCAACCAGGTGGACGCAAAGTTACCGTTGATGTTGGTTACGAACGTTTCCTTGCACCTGAAATCTTCTTCAACCCAGAAATTTACTCCTCCGACTTCTTGACTCCACTTCCAACAGTTGTGGATGGGGTTATTCAATCTTCCCCTATCGATGTTCGTCGTGGACTCTATAAGAATATTGTGTTATCTGGAGGAAGTACATTGTACAAAGATTTCGGTCGCAGATTACAACGTGATATCAAACACTTGGTGGATGACAGAATTAGAGCTAGTGAAGCCCGAAGCGGTGGTGCAAGGAGTGGAGGTTTGGAGGTTCAAGTTATTTCGCATAAGAGACAGCGACACGGTCCATGGTTCGGTGGTAGTCTTTTGGGTCAAACCCCTGAATTTAGATCTTATTGTCACACCAAAGCAGGTAAGTTATTTTGGCTTTTCCTCATCCTTCGAATACAATATACTGACATCAGGCAGAATATGACGAAATAGGTCCAAGCATTGTTAGAAGGTTCGCCTTGTTGGGAGGACCAGGAGGATCATAAGGAGCTAGGCCATTAGCCGAAAGGATAAGACATTTGGAGGAATGAAAAACTATAAATGTATTGAAGAGTTGAAGAGTTGAAGGAGTTTGGGGGAACTATTAAAGCGATGAATGTCAAGTGAAGTGTCTTACGCTACATAGGGTGAGATTGGTGAGACGTAGGGGATGACAAAAATTGATTAAATTGATGCACATCTTCGCCATCTTCTTGCTATTCTACGTTTGGTGATACGGTAGGTAGCAACTCCTTCTCTACCAACTCGACTCGAAAATACATTACTACCGAGAGGGACCTATCTAGTAGTTAGACTTTCACACTTCACTTCCCTTCAGGTGGACGTAGCTAAAGTTGTCGGAAACTGCCCCTCGGGTTAGAGACTTCGAGGTATGTTATATATGATACACGTGACTCCCCAAACTGCGGGGTTGACAATCTCGCAAACTTCACGACGCGACAAAGTAAAAATAACGTCAAGTGAATTGAAACACCAATATAGAATTCGTCCCGCTCCTTTTCGCCAAATTTCATTCTATCCTCGGATATATACAGCATATCTCCCGTCGAATCCCATCCGCAGGTGCAAAACAGGCGCATCAACAAAAGTCTCATACAATAATCAGTCAAACCAAACGCAAAGATAATCACAATCGCAAGACAAGTACAAGCAATCGTAATCGCATCGCATCGCAACCATGGAAACAGACGCATCCAACATTCCACTCCCTACAAACGAAGATCTTTCACCCACAGAACAAGATTTACTAGATGAATATGAACGATTAGCAGAGAACATGAAGACTGTCTGTTTTTCCTCTCTTCCTCTTTCTCTCCCCTCCAATCCCTCTTGCATTCCTCCTCCGAACTAACAGTCAATTTATATAATAGCTAGCGCATACACTCGAAACTCTCTCGAATAATCCGACGGCTTTTATACTTGATAATTTGCGCCAGTTGGAACGGAAGACTAGTTTGGTTTTTACGTTGTTGAAAGCGAGTGTTTATAGTATTGTTTTGCAGCAGCAGATTAGTGAGGAGAGGGGTGGTGGGGATGAAGGGGATGGTGGGAGTGAGGAGGGGGGGAGGAGAGGTATGAGTAGAGTGTGGAGAGAGTACAGGAGAGGATGTTACGGCGTGAAGGGTAGTTATGTGGAAAGATTGGAGGTAATTGTGTCTCATACCGGGGAATGACCGGCATAAAGAGACATGCACAACTTGTTGGGAAGGAACCAATTCCATCTGCATGTGTGAATCTTGGGGCAAAAGACTCGAGATCGATTGAAGCTTTGAGGGTATCGATTGAGTTACCTCTCGCTATACTAGTACTGGGCATTTCGTAGAGAAATGAAGTTTGGCACGGAAAAGCAAGATGTGATAGGAGAGAGGGTAGATGGGGATAGGATATATTGATCCTTTTCCCGATATTTTGAATCATGGACAATGGATTTACACTACTGGGCAGCTTGTCATTCACTAAAAGTACCCATCACCACGAAATATCACGAACTGCAGCTGTCAAAATTAGTCGAAGGGGGAAGGATTGCTTCATCTTTATTTAGGAGTTTTGGATTAAGATACCCACACATAATAATATGTGTAATGCAACCCAAATTCTTTCCTTTTAAGATCTTCTTCAATGCAATATCATGAATTTGATGCTTGCTTTTCCATATAATTTTTGTCCTCCTTCCCGGCATTACGCCAGTCTATGCATATGCACATTTTTCTTCCACATCCATCTAGTAGTATTCATACAATATGCAAGGTAAATATACATATTCCCTTTCCTTTTCTTCCTTTTCACACCCTTCCTCCGTAATAAACCTTCCTCACATCCACGAGTTTCTTTCCTCTACCCTAGCAATCTCATCTGGTATTCGTTGCTTCATTAATGCTTGGTAGGTGGCTTTAACAGTGTTCATCTTGTTTCTCGAACGTGGTACTTTGGCGGCGAGATCGTGAATGCCTACTGCCTTTGCCATATCAAAGATAAGTTTTTGGCATCGCAGGCCAAATCCTACATTGAGAGAATCGAATTAGTCCCTCTTCTTACCCCGCACATCATAAATTCCTCTACAGGCAGGAAAATGACATGGAAATGAAAATGAAAACATACCTGGAGGTCTTGCCATAAGCTCAACTTCAACTGCACTAACCTTCCTCCTACATCTCCATAAATTGTTCGTTCCTCATATCTCGGAACCGGCTGCATATTCTTAATCGCCGCAATCTTCGCATTATTATTCGTGTCTTCCGGTTCCTGTCCTTTGGCTTCTCCTATTCCTAATCTGCCCTTCCATTTCCCGCAATTGCCAATACGTACATACTTTCAATTTTACCCAAACGCGTTTGGTTGACAACTCGATGGCTGACGAGGATTTTAGTATCGAGGCTCAAGATTTCGTCCATGGTAAGTCCTGTTTGATGGCGCAATTTCGTATAAACCCCATCTGGATCCCTAGGATCAAGATTCTCCTCATCATCTTCGTCCACCTCCCTCGCTATCTCCGCAACCTTACCAGGTTCCTTTGTAAAATCCCCAGGTACCTGCGGTGCAAAAGCAAAAGTACTTGGATCTCCCATTTCCTTCTGCAGCGCCTTCAGCGAATCCAACCTGTTCGGCCTATGTTTATTTTCCCAGTCGGGATCCTCAGGATCGACATCCTCGGGATTTTCTTCCATCACTTTATCCATATATGCCACGAATTCGTCTCCGATTTTATCCTGATCCAGCGTCCAATTCGGATCAATCCGATAATCCATAATCTTCTTATCGATCACCGGCTGCGTCATACTTAAATCATCCATGTACCTCAACCCTCCCAAATCCGTCCGTATCACACCATGACTCTTCAAATCTTCCACATCGACCGCTTCCTCCGCTGCCTCAATAGCCGCAATTTGCTCCGCAGTATATCGTTTCCCTAATAAACTTCTCTCCTTCTCGCTATATCCCGGGTAAAGCTCTTTCGCAGGAGCACTATCCACCTCTGAATGTTTTATGCTAGCAAAACGGGAACGACGTCGTGCGGGAGTGGATTTTGACGCCGCGTCAGCGGTCGCAGGTTGGCGAGAGGCGCGTTGAAAATGCATCGCGCGGGTCGGAAACACTCATGGCGAGGTGGTTTGGGCGGCAGGTTACCTGCACGTTTCGGAGCAAATTCCTGGATTTCGTTATTCCGTTCGAGTGTATCCGAAAATACGACGCGACACTTCTTTGAAGGAAACGTACTCAACGTCGAGAACAAAGTCAGAGATCGAGTGACGGAACAGTTAGCACAATGATGAGCAATGCTTCAACAGGAGAGAATCAGCGGCGACAAACATGACGGAGGGTCCTTCATATTCAAAAAGATTGTGGTGGTTGGTGATGGGGGATGCGGGAAGACTTGTCTCTTGATAAGTTATAGTCAGGGATATTTTCCAGAGGTATGATGATACCAGTAGTTGTGATTAGAGCTCAATCAATTTGTTATTTGGCTAACGCGTGTTTAGAAATATGTTCCAACTGTATTTGAGAATTATATTACCTATCCGACACATCAACAGACAGGAAAGACACTCGAATTGGCGTTATGGGATACCGCAGGGCAGGAGGAGTACGATCGTCTTCGTCCCCTATCATACCCGGAGACGGATCTATTATTTGTTTGTTTCGCCATCGATTGCCCCAATTCCCTCGACAATGTTATGGATAAGGTGAGATGAATAGGGGGAATTCGTGGCCAATTATCATACTAATCGAATTTATAGTGGTATCCTGAAGTTCTACACTTTTGCCCATATACACCACTCATTCTCGTCGGTTTGAAATCGGACTTAAGAACGAAACGTACTTGTATCGATTTGCTCAAAACTCAAGGTCTCACACCCGTCACCACCGAACAAGGAATGGCTGTTGCAAGAAAAATGGGGGCTCGTTATATGGAGTGTAGTAGTAAAGAAATGACCGGTGTAGATGAAATCTTTACAGAAGCCATCAACACAGTTGTCGTCAACGATCGAAGCAACCAACCAACCACTTCATCATCATCAAGTGGTCCACCCGGTACACCCAATTCCCAAGGTGTAATCATTCCGAAAAAGAAGAAGCGAAGTTGTCGATTCTTGTAATGACCCATTCCTTCACCACATGATCAACATTACGCATTCCGATAAAGCACGACACGAGCATGATTTTTTGAAACGACCTACGAACTGCATAACGTAACGAGGAGTGTATAATTGTGAAAATCTGCAATCATGAAGCAGATTTTAGGAAATTGAGCCTTGCATTCATTAGCATTGCCGCATAGTCATTAGCCTTTCTTTTCTCCTTTTCTACTTATTTTTTCATCACACTCTCATACCGCTGGAGCTGGACGGGACTGGACTGGACTGGACTTTCTCCGGTAATTTTTTTACTTTACATTTTGATTTGCGGCTTGTTTTTGGACTTTCTTGTGAATCAGTTAGGAATTTGAGGGAAACTGTGAACACAACAAACTGACTATGAGCGAGCGATTCCTATCGACTCTTTCTTATGTACAACGAAACTTTGTGGGTAGACAATGCATAACATACTCTTAAAGGATACATAATTTTTGACCTTTGGTTTTCTGGTTGGGGATGTTGTGAGGATGTTATCTTGGCATAACTCGTGAATATTATGAGGTATTGTGAAATGTAAATTGTAAATGTAAGTTGTAAATATAAATAAGGGTATCATACTCCAATCCGTAACTCCTTTCATATCCTCATTCATCCTCATCCTCATCCTTACTCATCCTTGTCCCGATTTATCATACACTCATGCAGTCAACCCTCCCTCCCCTTTTCCCTCCCTTCCCCTTTCCTTCTATCCTTTCCCCTACCACCTACCACAAACACGTAATCCTCACTTCCTCGCTCCTCGCCTCTCCAATCCAAACCAAACTCCTAACTCCGCATTTTCATCTCTCGTTCTCTCCGCCCATAATCGTTTCCTCTCCTCCTCCTCCTTCTTCTTCTTCTTCTCTGTTTTCTTTCCTCCTGGATTTAGATTTAAATATCTCGTCTTCGGGTATATTTGCATCTTCGGGTGAGGTAGAGGTAGAGGTAGAAGGATCGGGGTTCTTAGCCATTACGTTTTCGAATTGGGACCAGAGGGCTTCGACGGAGGAGAATTCGTTTCCGACCTGTTTTTGGGGAGGGGCAGGGGTTAGATTTTGGTGGATTTTGGTGGTTTGATGAAGGGGAGAGGGGAAGATGGGGAGAGGGAAGATGGGAGAGGGAAGGAAGAGGAGGAAGATGAGGATAGAATGACATACGGCAATAACGCCCTCTAAAGAACGATTTAGTTTATTTATACTCGAGAGGACGTGTTCAAAACTCTAAAGGTGGGTGGGTTTGATTAGTGATTGTTCTTGATTTTCTGGTGATTTGTGATGCGGAACTGCGAATTACGCATGCTAATTGCTCATTGCATAAAACACAAAAGATATGGTAAAGTAAAGCAGGGCAGATTTGAGCAATGTGATTTAAGCTAGACAAAGCTAAACCGAGTACTTGAGATGGGAAAACGCGGCAAGATAAAAAGAAAAGTCATTGCTAGAGAAGACAGAAGGAGAATTGCGAAAAGCAATTGAGAAATCATAGATATATCGAGGAGAGGGCAAGAGGTGAAGAGAGGAGGTACCCAGAAGGACCATTGAGTTTAAAGGGAAGAGAAATTAGAGAGTAATAAGAATTCGTTTCTTACAACAGCTATTTCCCCTAGTAAAATCTCGCGCTGCTGTTCGAAATAGGATTTTTCTGGTGCGATGGGGAGTCGGTTGGTTGAGGAGGACATTTTTTTGATTTTGCTTCTGCTTTGTACTGATTTGATAATGGGATTGGTATTGGTATTGGGCTTGAGATGGAGATGGCAGAGGAGTAGAGCAGTTGAGAGGAGGAGAGAAGGACAGACGCGATACGGTTGATGTGAGTGTAAGAGTGGTGATTTTGCACGTTGGTTGAATTCCTGGTATGATTTTGATTGTGATTGTGGTGTCGTATGGTGGGGTGATGAAGGAAGTAGGGTGTCTGTAGAATAGTATGGGGTGGGGATAGTGATGCGCATACTGAAGGGAAGTGTGACTTTTGCTCTTTTACTTTTCTTTGCTTGTCATATTATAACACAATACAATGACATGAAATGAAATGAAATGATTTCTATCCTAGCAAATGGAAGACGATCTTTTGTTTTGATTTGAGGAGCTGATTTCATTTCATTGAATAGCTGTTTTGCTCTTGCTGAGTCTCTACACCGGTATCCATGTATATTGGCATATGAAGATGGACTACGAAAGTTTGGCTGTCCTCGAATGCGGAATGGTTAGAAATATCACCCAGCTAACCTTACTTATACCATCTGGCAGTCCAGTTGTCAAGTTTGATGAGTTTTGCGTCATATGGCTTGCTAAAACCAGTTCATCATCTTTATCTATAGTCTGGATGGTGTGTGATTTACACATTTCTCCATGGTTTATGCGCCAGAGAAGTCCTGGCTTGCTAGTTATCAACAGTGACATTTTCCACGTCTGCGATACATGTATTAAGTAGTTAACTCTATTACATTGGTCTTTCATAAGGTTCTGCTCATTATTATGTCTTTTAACTTGGAATTTTTATCAGTATTATTCTATTCTGCTTGATTACTTGTTGAGAATTAGGAATATGTCGTTTGACAGCCAATAGTCTGGACTAGCAGACTAGACATAAATTTCCAATGTTTGTAAGATTTGAAATTTCAACTGAATTTGTTCTTGGCAAAATTACAGATATCTAAATATAACACAGTATTCCGATTAGATCCTACAATTCAATGTCTTCGCATCATTGGACTGCAGTCTGGAGGATTTCCTAACCCTGCCTTGCCCTACTGGCTCGCGGCACACTAATTTCTAAGACACAATCTTCTATCGTCTTCTAACGCTTCGTAAGAGTTTGTTTTCTGCGATGTATCCCCACCTAACTATCAAATGTAACAAGACAAGTCCTCACAGGTAATACTACCATACAACGTGACTGAATACTAGTTGTTAGCTTTCGAGCAAAATGTAGTTCGTGTACAAGGATACATACCTGTATAGACTCACTACGCTATGCTGACGGTCAAGTATCCTCTCAATCAATCTTTTCATAGTAATTGGACAAATCTCTCAAAGGATTACTATTTTCCAATGCGGATGATCCATGGCGGGCTATCTGAATGACGTATCCCATGTTGACTAAAAGTTCAAGTCTCAATTCTTCAGGAAAGTCTTTCGAGTTCGTTTCAAGTAATGAAGGAGGCATCTCCCATGTGAGTAAGTCGAGGAGGAATTTATGCATTAACATAGTTTTGGTTGTGTACTTCCACATGTAGGAAAGCCATGAAGTTGTGATGTATCCGGTCGCTTTTGTAAACTCATAGTACTTTTTTATACACTGGTTCTTCAAAGCTGGCACACGAGCCATATCGGCAAATAGGTAAAGATCTAGAAGCGCAGCCATATGAGGAAAACAAAAGTTTGTAAGTGCTACATTACCTCTGTCGTCAAGATCGCCACTTTTCGTTTCTAAAACCATGTTTCCATTCGAGTTGCTGTTTTCACCAAGTCGTCATTTCCTTTAGATTCATCGAAGTCTATTATTGGTCCCTCATCGCTTTTGTTGTCAAGGTCAGACCCTTTGCTATTTTTCGCCTTTTCGGCTCTCCATTCAGCAATTTCCTCATGGGCGCTGCCAAGCTCTTGCTTGTAAAGCCAATCTCTGAAGAGCTTGAAAGTATTATCATTCGTCTTAGCAAATTCTATAGTTGCACGCTCAAGTCCTTCTGAATAGCGGTCGCAAGCTTCTCCAAGGTATGGCGAATGTTGGTAGAAGATATCCTTTTCGACTGTGTATGCGTTTCGATATTTGCCTACTCTAACATGAACAGTATTACGATCTTTTTCTCTAATACTTCATCAGCTAGTGTTCTATAGACTCAAAGAAAAGTATTGATATGCAACAAAAGCTTCGATAATTGTTTCCGTTACGTTCGCAGTCTATGGAAAAGTCTTTGGTAAAGCCTAATTTTACTTACTTTTGCTTCTCGACCATAGTTTTAATGAATGGTGACATATGGCAGTCGGGAGGCATACTGGATTTTGTTTTGGTAGGCTTTTCGAATTGTCAGAAGTCGACTTTCTTGCAAAGGTAGAAGCGGGTGCGCACAAGGTGCAAGGAGAGACCGGTGTATGGAAGTGTTTTATAGAAAGTGTTTGAATGCAGAGCCGTCGTTGTAAAAATACGTTGTAGGTTGTTCGTGTGCACGCTGAATAAAAAACTGCTGTACTTTTGCTTGTCAGACATTAGACATTTGTATTTAGTCCGCTGCCGTACAAAATCTAGAAATAATTACGCTCCATCACAAATTGAATCCCTCAAAAATCCAAAATCTTGGACATGGAATCGCATCAACAGCCGGGTGTACTGATTTTGAGCGTATTCAAGTGGCGTGTATATAAATTATGGGATGAATCATTCATACTAGTTTTCATAACCCGCGAGCCAGAGCTTCTAAAATTATTCACTTGTAAATCTCATCTTTATGATTCTATAGCACAGTATTTGCAATGTGTCTAATGCTTAGAATAGCAGTTTTGATTATTATCATAATAGAACTCAGAGAAACATGCTGGGATTCTTTTTGGTGGATGGTGGATGGTGGATTGAAGTAAGGTATAAAGATTTATGTTGGTGGGTATGTTGAAATATCTTGATGAAATTGCTGTATATATTCATTCGTTTTGTAGTAGATGGATGGGAGGGTTGGCTTGAACGGCGTGTCTAGGAGTCTGGACTACAATCCGAATACAAAATAGAAGACTTTCAAATATTAAAATGGGTTTGGAGTATTTAAACCCTTTAAAATATTTAAGAACATTGAAATCATACATTTAGTTTGTTTAATGCAGACTCTTGTATCTCCAGATTTGACCATCGGTTTAACCTCAGCAAGATGCTATATTCGTATTGAAAGCAGATGATATGGAAGATTTTACTTTCAGCGGCAAAATAAGCACGATAGATAGTTGTACCAGAGGTATGACTAATTATGAAATGTATCATCATTTTATTCATGTGAGAAAGGTGCGTAATTTAGCATTAATAGCTGATCGTGTATTGGTGTTAAGTTAGAATGAATTCGCAATTTTGTGTTTGCTTAAGTGACAAGGACTGGCACAAGCTGTCTTTAAATGCTAAGTTTGAAAGAATATTATAACATTCTTGGATATTAACCTTCTACTATATCATCGCTCCTAAACTTGTCTTTCTCTTCTGTTCCAGTTTAGTATGACCCCCCTTCGGCTCCAGAAATTATGATTTTCCAGAAAAATGATTTATTCCGCGCACGAAACATTGTTCCGCAAGTCTAACATTAAAATCCTGCTCATTCACCTCTTCGTCTATACTTATCTGAAAATTTGCTTGGCTCTTCATGTTTAGAATACAATGCCGCTCCAACATCATTCATAATCTTATCCAAATACCTCGCTTGTTTAGCTTCCGACGAAAGCCCAGGCTCCGGACCAAGCTCTTTCAATGTCTCCCTATAAGCAAGCACATCACCCGAATGATCAAAATGTCGAGTCGCCCTATCAACCCTCCTTTTCCACGCGCGTTTCTCATCCTCAAAATCCCCAACTCCGCTCATCTTCTTCACTTCAGCATGTCTCTCCCTAAACTGTTCCACGGGCAAGCTCTCCCAGTACTCCCCCTTCTTAAGCACCCCAATCGCCTTTGAAATCCACTCACATCTCGAATTCCCCTTCATCCTCAACTCCTCCCACTCAACACTATCCATCGTATCCGGTCTCACAGGAAACGGCAAACACTCCGCAACCTTCGCATACACCATACCCCTATTCTCATTCCTCTGCACCCACCCAATTTTACACACGAACATCCTTCGACTTCCCATCACCCCTTCATTTCCCTCCATTAATATCAAATTGCGCATCTGCTTCTTCGCTGTTAGGTGATATATCTACTGTTTTCATTCCTTTAAAATCATTATACATTGTTCGGAATGATATCGTTGCGGAGAACAGCCCTGATTTCATGTCTTCGTAGCGATGGAATATTAGGTATACGTGTGTGGAATAGTGGTTTTGAGGGAGACGTAGACGCCTGGGGCGTGGAATACGGGGTGCAGTTTTCGCGGATGGAGATGATTTTTGACGAGGGTCGTTCACGATGTTTTTCTTGGGTTTGGAGGATTTTTCTTCGGCGCGCCAGAATCCGAAGGTGGGCATGGTTTTGGGGTAAGAGGGGATATTGATGGATGGGTATTTTGGTTGGGAGTGTACTGCTCATTGGGAGTTTTGGACGTGGTTTTCTGGCTGCTTGGTATAATTATGTATCTTTTTGCGGTTGAGGTCATTGGGTCTTCCAACATTGGCCAACAGATTGGTCGATGAGATGAGGTTGGAACTGGTCTAGTTGGTTTGGTCTGGTCTGGTCGGGAGTAATTAGAGAGCTTGTTTGTCTAAGCCTCTTGGATGGAATTTTGGTACGCAATTAGCCGCTTGTTATGATTTGATTTCTGTTATAGATTATGTATAATCATTTTTTGCTGTGCTGTAGTTATTGGAAATAACTTGATGGTAGTTAGTTATAAATGATTATTATATTGTACTATGATCGATCTAATTATTCACTAATAAATGATCTGTGATTTTGTACTATGATCTTATTAATATTATAGTATAATTAATATAATAATATAATCTTCTTTTTATTTTTTATTTATTATATTTTTATTTTTAATAGAGTACTTTATTATCATTATTATATATTTAAAATAACTCACTCAATCAAGATAATACATTCAATTATTTTTTAAAATAACTTATAATTTGATATCTTTATAATCAATAATCTCTCTTAATCGAATTTTTATATTTGAGTCTTATTTATCAAATTAAATATTCTATCAAAATCTAAACTTATTAATTATATATATATATATATAATTAAATTTAATCTATTTAAAAATTTGAGATATATTTAAATTATATAAAAATGATTCAAATAAAGTGAGGATAAAATATAAGATTATCTATTATTAATATATTCAATTTACACAGCGGTCTTATCCTTCAACCGGAATCAAGCTTGCAAATTGTTTCTCATGAGCTCAACTCCAGGGTTGTCTAATGGATTGTAGCGGTGTTATTCTGCTCTATGTTTAAGAAGGACTAGCTCTCACAAAGGTGATCTTCGTGCAACTCCTATCTTCCTGTCGCATCCCAAAGGATATACTCGTTCAACTTTATGCTAAAGACACGCCTTCATGTGTGAATTTAGGGGTAGTTTCTTGCTTCTGAATGGAGTTCTGATTTTAATCTCGCACCTTGTAGAATGCTAGTCACAGTTATTTGTCATTTATCCTCCACGAGAACTTCTCGTTCATGTACGAACGAACCTCCACAAAGGTGCTTCAAATTGTGGATTTCTTCTTCAACACATTCCGATGATCTAGATTCATTGCCTATAGTAGTGGCCCTTATCTAAATGTCCCCAGTCCAGTGGACCGTGGTACATATCCTAGATCATCATACATATATATGTATTCAATCCAGGAACTACATGTGCAACGGTGAAAAGAGTAGTTGTCTCTAGATCTTCCATCATACCGCCATTTCCAGGTACTAGGTGACTCATGCGATTCGTTTCCGGATACGCAAAGTATTTGATTGGCGCCTCATGGTTCTGTTGATCCTTTATGCCTTATGTGTTTGACATTGGGCCATTGGGCCATTGGGCCATTCGATCTTGGTAAATGTTGGCTTGGGAACGTTGGATTTTCCCGACTTTTCGGATGGAGAATCGTGTCCTGCATCACAGTCACGTGCATGATGACGTAGTTGAGGCTGTGAGGCTTAACCCAACCCATCTTCAACCTGGTTTGGAATGTTTTAGTCTTTTATTAGTCGTTTAGTCGTTTAGTCTCCCCTTTATTAATCTTTCTCATGCAGTTTGATTATGCACGATGATACAATTTATTACTCAAGTACAAAGTACTGCAATAGTCAATCCACCATCTGGTTCCTCATCAGCCCCAAGAATGGTCGCGTTCCTTTGAGTGGCTGCCACGCATCCAAATATTGCAAATCGTGAAAATAAACCTCATGACCCTTAATTGGTAACACGACAGTCGTAAGGAAGAAAAGTTAGATATATTGGAGAAGGTCTATCCCTTCATTTTGGATTTTCTTTCGAGGTTATTCCTATACAACTTTTATCAGATTCAACAATTTTATTGTGATATCTATCCGTCTTATCATCGAAGATCAATCTTATACTATACATCGCTACCAAGAAACCTAAAAACCAATCACACATCATCCCTTCTATAATTTAGCCTCCAAACTCTCATCCTACCTTTCATCCATCCAATCCGAATCGTCGTTCAACCTTGCACTCTACTTTAATCAAGGAACGACAAAATGGATTATGCTCCAATAGCTCTTCAAGCAACTGATGTTTTAGTCGACAAACATTTTCATAGAATCCCTGATAAAGCATTTAGGAAAGAAACCTATAAACCACGTATTCCCTTTAAAAATAGTAGAAGGAGACGTAGGGAAGAGGAGGAACGAAGAAATTCTCGTGATCAAGGACAATATCAAGACGAACGAAGAAATTCAAGAGATTCCAGAAATCAAGAAGATAGGGATAGTGGAGTTCAAAGACAAGAAGAACCATACCGGGATCCGGAAATCGAAGAAGCGGGCTACGGTTCCGAACCTGATTATACATCTCGACAACGTGAAAGAAATATGCGAGATAGGGATTGGGATTCAAGAGAGAAGGATAGAGATTTCAGAGATATACCAAGACATAGTGGTGCAGGTGTAGGTGGAGGAACAGGTTATGGGTATGGAAATTCTTACGAAGAATCTAATCACTCCAATACTTCACCACATCCAATTTATAGTCAACAGCCACCACGTTTACGACCTGAATACCTTCCCAAATACGCGGCTCCTTCAAAATTAGGATCCGATAATCGCTATCCATATTACTTTCCTCCACCACACATATCATCATTCTCAGATTCATTTGGTAGAGATGAAGGAGAAAGGGATTATGAATATGATTCCGATGAACGATATGCCCAAGAAAGAACACGAAGACCCAAACCCATCCAAAGACGTAGTTCCTACGACGATATCCACAATCAACGAAACGCCCCCTCAAACACAGACCAAAGACTCAGCAAACGAGATACACAACGTAGACCCCGCTCATCACACAGTACTCAAGCTTCAGCTTCAGCATCTCACCAATCCAAAGAATCCCACATGGAAAATATAAAAGATCGCGCAGATCGGTACGGAGTGAAAAGTGAAGCGAAAGGTCTATTTACGGATTCATCGAAGGGATTAGCGGGTGGTGCGATTGGTTGGGGTGGGGCGGAGGCAGGAGGAAGAAAGGAGGGATAAAAGATGGGGTGGAATGGAAGGATTTGGAGGGGGAGGGGGGGAAGGGGGGAGAGGAGGAGGAAGGAGGAGAGATAGGAAGGGGAAGAGATAGGTCAGGGATAGGGAAGAAAGCTGGTAGAACACATCATACGATGAGAAGATTAGAATGGTCGATACGAGTTATGATGGGAAGAATGATGTGTATTGGTATTATTGATATTATTGAGGTATACCGATTAGGATGGATGATGATTAAGTTTGATAGTATGAGCTTTTTGTATACAAGTATTGAATGATTTACGATGATGATAAATATGAGAATGAGTGATGATTATTGTCGGCTTGCCGATACCAAAACCTTGCTATATACAAGGTTTACCTGATGTAGGTAATAGAAAATGAGAAATTCGTTTAAGTGAACCGCGACCCTGACTATCTGATTGATCTAACATACTTTAGTATATAATCTAACAAAAAGTTTAATATAAGTTTTATAATCTTAAACAAATCTAATTTAAAACTTTTTTCAATTCTATTGAAATCATTTAACTGTATTGAAATCATTCAACTTTATTTATTAAATTTATCTCATTTAATTTATCTTATTCAACTCAAAATAATGACAACAACAACAACAACAACAACAACAACAACAACAACAACAACAACAACAATAATAATAATAATAATAATAATAATAATAATAATAATAATAATAATATTATTATTATTATTTTTAATTTTCAATTATCAAAAACAAGTTGATATTCTATCTATACCCTGATATATATCCAATATTTAAATTTATTATAAACTTTTTAAAACTTAAATTTTATTTAGACTTTTGTCACGATTCACGATTTTCTTTATAGTAGTATTATTGACGTCGGTGATTTATAGGCCGACTACAGGGGTGTGATTTAACCGTTGCTTTCGGGGGTCCTGATTACCTAAGCCTAGGACCCCGGGATTCCTAGGATAAGTATCCTAGGCAACCATAGTAGAATAGGACAAGTGTCCTATCTAATTGGTTGTAATGGGACTATCACCCTAGAGGATATCGTATCCTAGGGCTATGGTTCCTAGAGGGGAAGCTCCTGGGACAAGTGTTCCAGGAAAGGAAAGGCCTTGGGATACGAGAAGCCTCAGGATCAATCACGTGATGTGCTAGCTCTGCTAGCCCAGCTAGCAGAGCTAGCATCACAGGAATGCTAGCCGTGCTAGCCCAGCTAGCATAGCTAGCACAAGAAAAGAGATTAGTATATAGTCAGAATAGTTTCATAGTTTAGGAGCTTCGTGCTCAACTTAGTTATCAATTAGTTTACCTACATTCCAATTGATCTAGTAACGTATTCACCTTCGAGTGGATAACCAGTGATTATTAGCCTTAACCCACAACTACCAACCAGACGAAACCCCGAGGCAGCCGCTGCCCCAACCAGATCGTTACAACTTTCTCAAAAAGCCAGGGGTCCGGGGGGTGCAGGCCCCTGGTATTAATTCTATTAATTCTATTAATTCTAAAATATTTATGGTTACACATGGGGATATAGCTACCAAAAACAAGCTATGCCGATTTTATATATGTCAAAATTTCGTTTTGGATACTGATTTGGGATAAGGTAGACATTTAAGCATTTCAACTGGAGTTTATAGAGTTTTTTTTTGGATTAGATCTTTAAGCGAGTACTAGATGACTGATTTTCATGCCATCGACAGCGCAGTATTATAAAGGAGACATAGAATGAGTCTATAGAGCTTTCTTAACCGCGATACCAAAGTCTTACTCTTACTTAGCCCTGTCTTGGAGTGGTGCGTTGAATCATGCAATTGGCTTAGAAGCCGTTATTCTGGATTTAATGTAATGATGAGTCAATCTGGAAATTAAGAAGCCTCTCTATCCTTACAACTTCCTACACACATACATAATAATACATACATACCTATCTAGGTATGAACAATTCTCTATATAAAATTCCGATAAAAAATGTTTATGAGGACCTCGTGATTTGATTGACATTCTGAAACAACGATCTCAGATAATAACCACATGGGGCGCGAATCTCTGCGCCACAATGACAGCATTTTGCTGGTGGCTGGGCTGGCTCCATCAATCCAGACATCTCCATGCAGCCCATTATCTACAACACAACGATACAAGATCAAATCAATGAATTAATTATCGATTGATCATTCAATAATTAGTTTGTTCATTTGAATTGTTTTTTTTTATTTAATTCTATTGCAAAAGTAATACACTTGTCTTTTTTTACGACTTCACGCTTAGTCTGTATTATCAACGGCTGGCCCCGATAGATTAGACGCTGGGCGGCGCATTTAGACAGACGCAGCGATGCGGCATTCCTTCACTTTAGTCGGAATTCTCACGGCGGCCCTCGTAGCTGGTGAAGCATATACTCCGAAGCACGAAGCTGGAAGATGTTCGATAAGGGGTAGTTGTGGGAAGGATAGCTTCTTTGGTCCCGAGCTCCCTTGCCCGGATAACGGGCTTGCGAAAGAACCGGATCATGATGCCAGGAAACAACTGGTCGAGCTATGCGGTCCAAAATGGAGTACCGGGCCTGTTTGTTGTGACGGGAATCAGGTACGATGGAAGCTTTAAGATGCGTTAAGACCTTGCTAACCGCTTCGCAGATAGATGCTCTTGCAGATCAGATCAAGAAGGCGAATCCGATAATATCCTCTTGCCCGGCATGCAAAGAGAACTTCTACAACCTCTTCTGTACTTTTACATGTTCACCAGATCAATCCCTATTCTTGAATGTGACGGAAACAAAGAAAAAGGGTGATAAATACATCGTTACTGAGCTAGATCAACTCATATCTGATGAATATGGGTCGGGTTTCTTTGATAGCTGCAAGGATGTTAAGTTTGGACCAACGAATTCAAATGCTATGGAATTTATAGGCGGCGGAGCCAAGGATTACTCTTCATTCTTAGCTTTCCTGGGACACAAATCTTTACTGGGTTCGCCGTTCCAGATCAACTTTCCAAAGCCAAGCGAATATCCGGAAAAAGGAATGGATCCATTACCTATGGTACCAAAGAAGTGTAATGATGAGGATGAGAACTTCCGTTGTTCTTGTGTGGATTGTCCTGCAGTCTGTCCAGCTTTGCCGGAAGTTTCCAAGTCCGGCTCATGTCATGTTGGACTACTTCCTTGCCTTTCTTTCGCCGCCATATTTACCTACAGCATTGTGTTACTATTGGTCGCCGTTGCTATCTTTGGTCACATAGCATGGGCTAAAAGAACCAAAAGACTTAATGAAGAATTACGACTTCTGGAAGATGATGTTGCGCCAAGTGATGATGATGATGAAGGGGACATGATACACAATGGAGCCATGTATGACCGACCTCAGAGGAATTACTGGATCAATACAGTGTGTGACAGCGCATTCAGTCGTCTAGGTTATACAGCTGCAAAATTTCCAGCCATCACTATTGTAACAAGCATAGTTGTGGTGGGAATCTTGAGTTTGGGTTGGACTAAATTTGAGATCGAGCAAAACCCTGCACGATTGTGGGTCAGCCCATCATCTGCTGCTGCTCAAGAAAAAGCCTATTTCGATTCAAATTTTGGACCCTTTTACCGTGCCGAACAAGTATTCTTGGTCAATGATACAAATGCATCAGGTCCTGGCCCTGTCATGAGTTACGATACATTGAAATGGTGGCTTGAAGCTGAAAACCGAATCAGAGAATTGGCCGGCAAGCAAACAGGTACCACTTTCGACGATATATGCTTGAAGCCCACTGGTGATGCCTGTGTCGTTCAATCAGTAGCAGGTTACTTGAACGACGATATCTCCAGTGTGAGTCCGGACACATGGGAGAAGACCATTCGATCATGTGCCGAATCTCCTGTAAATTGCCGCCCTGCTTTTGGCCAACCATTAGATCCCAAAATGATCTTTGGTGGCTGGCAAGAATCTGGCAATGTCATCGATGCTACTGCGTTGATTATTACCTGGGTAGTAAACAATGATGATGAGGGATCATCTCAAGTTGTACATGCTATGGATTGGGAAGCTTCTCTTCGAGATGAATTGTTGCGTTTGCAGGCTGAAGCAAGCGGTCGTGGCCTGAGACTTTCATTTTCGACAGAGATAAGTCTTGAACAAGAACTTAATAAATCCACCAACACTGATGCAAAAATTGTCGTCATCAGTTACATCATCATGTTCTTTTATGCATCCTTAGCACTAGGCTCAACCACCATCTCATTACAAACATTGATGCGCAACCCAGCTAGCTCTTTGGTTCAATCAAAGTTTTCACTCGGCGTCGTGGGAATCCTGATTGTGCTGATGTCTATCTCAGCATCAATTGGTCTATTCTCTTTCTTAGGTGTTAAGGTTACTCTTATTATTGCGGAGGTTATTCCTTTCATAGTTCTTGCAGTTGGTGTTGATAATATCTTCTTAATTGTGCATGAATTCGAAAGGGTCAATAATAACCATCCTGATGAGATGGTTGAGATGCGTATTGCTAAAGCACTCGGAAGAATGGGTCCATCAATTCTTTTATCGGCGTCTACTGAGACTATCGCATTTGCACTTGGTGCTTTTGTTGGTATGCCCGCGGTTCGAAATTTCGCAATCTATGCCGCTGGTGCAGTATTCATAAATGCTGTTTTACAGATCACCATGTTCGTCTCCATTCTCAGTCTCAACCAACGACGTGTCGAAGATCGCCGTGTAGATTGTATTCCTTGCATTCAGATTAAAACTGCCGGTGTTCATCTAGGGAATGGAAGTGCTTACTCTAGATTTTATGAAGGCTCTGATGAAGGTGTCCTTCAGAAGTTTATTCGCAAAACCTATGCTCCAGCTTTACTTGGCCGCAAAGTAAAGACTGCCATTGTGATTGTGTTCCTTGGTATATTTGCTGCTGCGGTTGCATTGATTCCCGAAGTTGCTTTGGGCTTGGATCAACGCGTGGCAATTCCAGACGGCTCATATCTCATTCCATACTTCAACGACCTGTACGACTACTTTGACTCGGGACCACCAGTGTACTTCGTCACTCGGGAGTTGAATGTCACTGAACGTAAGCATCAGCAACAACTATGCTCTCGCTTTACAACATGCGAAACAGAGTCTCTCACCAATATCTTGGAGTCTGAAAGAAAGAGACCAGAAGTTTCTTATATTGCGGCTACTCCTGCTAGTTGGATCGACGACTATTTCCGTTGGCTCGATCCTTCATTGGATTCATGCTGCGTCGAACGTGGTTCGGCTTGCTTCAGCAATCGTGATCCGGCATGGAATATCACTTTACATGGTATGCCACAAGGTCAAGAATTTATCCATTATTTAGAGAAATGGATTGCCTCTCCAACCGACGATGATTGCCCTCTTGGTGGTCAAGCTGCATATGGAAATGCTCTCGTCATTGATGCCAAGCGAGATACTATACCTGCAAGTCACTTTCGCACAAGTCATACACCACTTCATAGCCAAGAAGATTTCATCGCTGCATATGCCTCTGCACGTCGAATCGCAGATGGTATGAGTGAAAAATCTGGTCTAAAAGTATTCCCATACAGTGTCTACTACATTTTCTTCGATCAATACAGCTCAATCATCAGTTTAACCGCTACTCTCCTCTGCTCCGCTCTCATCCTCATCCTATTTATCTCTTCAATTCTTCTCGGATCCCTAAAAACCGGCGCAGTCGTAACAGTAACCGTCATAATGATAGTCACCGATATCATCGGCACAATGGCCGTCTTCAACGTCTCTCTCAACGCAGTTAGTCTCGTGAACCTAATCATCTGCGTTGGTATTGGCGTCGAATTCTGCGCCCACATCGCTCGCGCCTTTATGTTCCCATCCCGCTCCGTCATGGAAAAAGCCAGAAACAAGTTCCGTAACCGTGATGCTCGTGCTTGGACTGCTCTAGTCAATGTCGGCGGTTCAGTCTTTAGCGGCATCACGATTACAAAATTAGTAGGAGTTAGCGTCTTGGCCTTTACGAGGAGTAAAATCTTTGAGATTTATTATTTTAGAATCTGGCTTGCACTGGTTATTTTTGCCGCCTCTCATGCTTTGGTATTCTTACCCGTTGCGCTTAGTTTGGTGGGTGGAGAGGGTTATATGGATAATGAGCATGATGGCGGTTTGGAGGAGGATTTGGCGGATAGGAGATATAGGGCTTCGTTACCTGATGAGGAGAGTGATGATGAGTATTAGGCTTTGGGTGTGTGGGGAATTTGAGGAGATGCGGATAGTATGTGAAATATAGTTAGTATACTATAGATTTGAAGGGAGGGGAGAAATTAATTTGTAGATAATTATATCTAGGTATGATGAGTTAGGGGAAATTGCAATTTTGAAGGTTTTTGATATATATTTAGATGATGTATATTGATGATGATGATGATGATGATGATGATACGAGTAATAGGTGATAGATTAGCTTGTGTAGTTATTCTTTTATTTTCTATATTTTATCTTGATTCTCTTTTGTTAATATTCTTGTTATTGTTATTGCTCTTAGTATATCAGAGATCTATAAAGTAAGATAAAATAGATAGAACAGATATAAGGAATATATTTATAAGAGTCTTCTATTAGTATGTAACTAACAAATTTCCCAATAGTCTTGTAGTATTATTTTATTTTATTTTATTTTATTTTATTTCATTTCATTCTCCTACATCAACATAACTAACTAACTACCTCCTTCCTTCAATTTTCAATTCCTCGAAATAAATTTCCTACAACCCATTCATTCACCCACCTCTATCCCCATTAACTCAGCTCAGCTCGGCTCAGCTTTCATCTCAACCCTACACCACGCTACACTCCATCATTCACTCTCACCCTCACCCAACAACCCCCTTCCCCCACCCAAACCTCCACCCCATTCGCCTCCCTATACACCGTAACATAAGCGCATCAATCTTAGCCACGGGATGAGGTTTATGGAAAATAATTTTTCCACTTCTATTCATATTCATATTCATATTCATATTTCCCTTTCCCATTGTCTTTCCCTCACTAAAACTAAAACAAACTCCATCACGCATCTCAAAGCCCACAGCACTCCCCCCTTTATTCCGTGCTATGAATCCCATGTCTGACATGAAATGGACGAAGAGATCCCATTCGATGGTTTTGTAGAGGACTCTGCGGCCGTGGAGGGGTACATGTGTGAGAGGATTTCGAGGGGGCGTTTTTTGAGGAGGGGTTTGCGAGGAGGTGGGATTGGGGATGGTAGGAAGATGTTTGGAGTTGCCGCTGTTTTATAGTGGTTGGTTTGTTGGGTAATTGGTCTTGTTTTTTCTTTTGACTTTGATTTTGTTGTTTCTGGTGTGAGAGTTGATGGCGAGGTTTCTGGGCCCCAGGTCGTTTGTGGGGGGATTGTGGCTGGTAAATGATTCTTTTGCGTGGTTTGCTTGGTTTTTTTTGATTTGATTTCTTTCAGTTTGGGCTAATAGCTTTAAGTCCTCGGCTTGAATAGTGTCTAAATATTCTTGAGTTTCGGTGGCACTAATATAATCGAGCTCATCGGCAACTTCGTCTTCGGTGAAACCATTCCTCTTCCAAACCGTTGCACAATCATTTCTCATTCCCTGCCAGAATGCCTCAAGTGCTCTCCTGCTACTTTTGGTATGATCAAACCAAGCCATGTCCTTCCGATTACTAGGAAGCTGAACCTCGTAGAAATCCTTAAAGAGTGTTTTCCCTAGCTTGGAGCACTCCTTGTTGGTAAAGTATCTCAAGCTAAAAGCTTTCTAGGGTTTTCGTTTTTCTGATTGCTTCACCTCGTCCAAGGTTCTGGCATGATTTCGAGGTCGATGTAGACGGATTGCTACCAACATTTCGTGACAGGCAGCTAGATCGGATAGATCGCTGGATAAGACCTCATCTATGCGAGACTTTTCCTTGAAGCTACTTTTAGCAAGGTGATTTTCTATAAGAGAAAATGCTAGTGCATGATCCAAAGGTAATATTTTTTCTTTTGGATCTGGGTTTGCTTGCCTGTCTGGTCTTGCTCGTAGATCAAATAAACAGTAATCCAGGATGTCATTTTCGAATAAATATTTTTCATGGGAACAAAGTCCTCCTTTCCGTCTTGTTTCGAGGATATCAGGTCCTTGGTCTTGGGACCTCTGTGTTATTATATATTTGTGAGAGAATCCAGGTCGCTGCGAAGTTTTCTGCCCAAGAAGGTCGGCACGACGATTGACCTCATTCACCACCAAAATTCTGGATCGTCGAAGTCAGTGTCAAATGCATTAAAATTCAGGCCGACGACGGCAAATATCAACATGACTTACTCAAGTGCGCCCAACGCCTTATCATACTCCGGTGGAAGATTTTCGCCTTGTGCGATATTATCTCGAAATCGATCGTGGATTGATTTGACATGTTCACATTCATTCTTTAACCTGCCCCAGGCCTAACAAGATTCGATGGCTTCAATGATACCACGTACAACTAGCCAACTGGGGCCCATATCTTTACTCGATTCATAAAACCCTCCATGACACATATTCACGATAAAAAATTTCATGTATGCTGGTTCCGTCTGCAATAGCCAAAGGTGATCTACCGTAGCTTCTAATCGTGTTTGAGCTAAAGAAATCAGTGTGCTAATAGAGAATGATGGAGGTGATGAAAATACCTGGTTAGTGTAAGGTGACCACAACTTCACCACATTAGTATGCCTGAATCCCATTAATACCATGGAATTCCACTTTTCAGCTGCAGGTGATGCATTCGTATCAAAACCTTGAAGTATGCCATCAACAATCTTGCGCAGTGAACTCATCAGATATGCCTGGGCTTCGAGGACAAGGCGTGCCTTAGGGAACCCAAGAATATCCGCTCTATGTGCTAGACAATCTTTCCAATCCACCACCTCGCCGTACCTTAAACCTTGCATCATAACACATTCGGCTGAAAAGTCGAAGTCAAAATATCCGCAAGGGAAAGAGATATTAAGCTGTCGTGCGTCAAAAGAGGCCCAGTCCTGAGGACTGTAAACCGTGCGATTGTGCAGCAAGGCAAAAAGGACGGCAGGGTTTGTTTTGAGAACCTCCAAACTAAACCACTGCAGGAGAAGATGATGACGCGTGTCTGGTGACCTGGCTTCCATCTCACCGTTACTATTTATGGGAGGAATCTGCTTGCCTTCAGGAGTGAAGCCAAGCCGAAGAATGATCCACCTCTTTTCGCAAATATTTGGAATGACTTCAAGTAGCAGCGACTGACGTTTGTCTTGGCTTTTCTTTTTCCACCGGCGGAGCACGATATCCCCGCACAAGGTGAGTCTTTCTGTTAGGTATTTGCGATCTTGTTGCATATTGTTTATGTAGGAGGCAGCGATTTGTTTTGCTTCATCATTAGATAGTGAACGTCGATAAAACCAGCCAGGCTGCATTTGCTCATTAGCTGTGTAGAAGCCCTGTTCAAAGTCGGCGCAGGTACCTGCAGCATTAGGAGATCAGTAATAGCTTGTCAAAGAAGAGTTTGGAGTGCGATGAGGAATTAAAAACCGCATTGGGAAGTGGGAATAGGAATCCATCTACGATAAGATCGGCAAGTACAGACTGAAGGAAGCAAAAATCAACTGCACTTACACGGTGGGTAACAGATAGCTGCTAGGACCTCTTTCAGGGACATTACAGGGTCTTGGGTATTCATGCCATGAGTTATTTGAGGGAGTGCGTCGATCGGACGGGTGCCACAAAGTTTTGGTAGTTTTCGTTCCATTGTTATCATATTAAAAAATGAATTTATGAGTGATTGTATTCTTTTCCGGTTTATAACACAATACCCTTTGTTGGTTTGAGGCGGTTGATTTGGGACGGTTTATGGCCTCGAAACTTGAAGTGCTTGGTGTGCTCATAAATTTAGATTGAATAGATACTTAGGTATGGAAACGAAGTGTTGAAAGGTCTTGAAAATCTTGCAATGATATTACGGAATGAAATGAGTGAGGCAACCAATTGAGAACGTATCCACTTAAAGTTTGTTGCCCTATTCCGGTCCCAAAAGTTTAGAATAGGATACCTCGTAATGCTTGCAGCAAACATTCGATCTGTAACTCCAATATTCATCACTAGTGCTCCCCCTTTCTCTCTATAACCCAATACCTAAAATTCCGAGGCGCAAGTTGATTTCATACTTGGATCAAGAATGCAAGAGTGTTATGTGCTAACTGAGCCTTTGGATAATGTCATCTAAAATACGGAGAGAGGATGATTAGAGTTTTGTGTGAAAAGGCCGACGAAGGAGGACAATGAAGGGAGAAAATCGATGAGGGCGTGTAATACGATACGATAGCAAGCATAAGTTCGTGTAATATGGGATGCGGTAGGCCGTTGCATAGCACAGGATGCGGTGGATGTCAAATTCGGGGGGTAAAAATATGCTGAGCCGATGATGGGCAACATGGAAGCCGATTTGATGAGGAATCATGGACGTTTCTTGAATTCTCGTAGTGGGAAGTATCGTTTATTGAGAAACATCAAGGAAGGACTTTGTAAGACGTTGGAATTCATGTACTCATCAACTTTCAGATATGTCCATGGATACAGCAGATATCTCGATGATTCGACTCGAGGAGAACACTTATAGTGGTGTTATGCAAAAACTCTGAGATAAAGTAGAGAGGTGCAAAAGTAGTCCCATCACACTTGTGAATTATAGTAAGCAATTCGAGTAGTGTACTATTGAAACCAACATGTGAACATGAATAAGCTTTAACCTGCATCTTCCACATCTTACATAAACATCGAAGTCAAACTCAAACAGGTGGTTACTTCAAGTGCTGGACGCAACCATGTCGACCATTCAGTGCATTGCACAGCGGAAGTGGCAAGGGCTATGCACTCAATAATGGCAAGTAACGTGTTCGGGTATCAAGTATGATCAAAGATGGGTATCTCGTTGGTCTGAATGTCTTGACTATTCACCCTGAGTGAGATGAAGACAATGGTAAGAAGAGGCGTTGTCGTCACCACAAAAAGCATAACTTTAGTATGACAAATGATGTTCAGTGTAGTTACTGGATTGATCTTTGCCAGTGAAAATCATGTTGTCGTTGTATTGAGTATCGGTGTGTTTTTCAAATATATATATATATATATATAACCTTATATAGCTGCTCCATTCAATCGTTGTAGGTTGCGATGACTTATCCATTAATGATCTTGCTTACTAATAGCCCCTATTTGGAGATAGCGTGAAGATCAAGTGCTCTTTTCTTTCTCGGCTCATGACTTCATCAATTTGTTCTAAAGCCCACCAGTTCTTAGGAGAACAAACTCTAAACTCTTTTACTACTCAAGAAACATCAAGAACATGTATCAGACTATCATGTTGTTGGCATATTTTTCAATTTTTAAATTCTTTCATAATTATTTGTTCCCAGCAGAGTCTCCTTGAATATTGTTTTGGATGAAAGAGAAGAGATTCTTTACAACAATAACCTGGAGTGAATTAATCGTATTGTGCGCGCAAATTGAGTTGAATTGAAGTAAGAATTTGCGGTTGGCAAATATGGTGAATACTGATGAGCTGATGGCTCGAATGGAGGTATGCATTCTTAAATTCATTCTGTATCTCATGTGTTCTTTACTCTATTTTCTACTATGTGCGCTGACAGGTTTCATAGGCAGAATATTGTCCTCCACTCGATAACAGCACATTTCGTGCAATAATTACGGATTACGATCTCTCCGACGAAGTGCAAATCCAGACTGCGCGCATGATTTTAGACATGATACGGCAAGATGCAGAGTTTGAGGAAGCAACTGGCTTTGATCCTAGTGGAAATAGTGGGGGAAGATACACAAATGGAGGGGGAATTTCAGAAGAGCAGAATTTGCATAATGGCAATGATAGAAATGAGGATGGGAGTGATAAAAGTATACCTGGATGGAGTAGTTCTACAGATGATACTTCTTTAAGTCAAGGGATGTCTTCACTGGATCTTTTGGAAGGATTAGACTTTTCGGGCAGTGAAGATGCGAGAAGTGGGTTTAATAATGGGAATGGGTTTACAGATTCATTGAAGGCAATGGATGTGGACAGTCAAGAGGCTTTCTTACTTGGGACTTTTCCTATCTTGAAACCGTTTGATGTCAAATTCTCGCTCAAAAAGTCTAAAGGGGATATTAATTTGGCAATCGAGGATTTACTTACTCAATCTTTTCTCGAAGAAACAGGATCAAGGAGACGTGGTATTGAAGCTTTCTCCGAAAGCTTTGCATCTTATAAACCCAACAAACAAAAAAGAAAGAAAAGGGATCGAAGAACCGAAGCTTCTGAGAGTAATACTGTTACTGATGATTCTTCCCTTGACGTTGAAGCGAGTAAATGGGAGACAGGCCGAAAAGATGTCGATTTCATATGCACCAGAACTGGCATACCAATGCAACAAGTAACTTCAATTTACCACAACAATGGAGCATCTGTACGAGCAACAATCTTGTCAATCATTGAAAACTATCCTACCACCGATGTGGAATCAGAGGACCCAGTAATAGAGATCAATGCCGTGGAACTTGGACAAGACTTCCCGTCGATCAAACGCTCTCATTTGATTACTCTTACTCAACTTACTCATCCATTCACAACCAGTGCACACGAACTAGCAAAAGCGCTCACATCCACACCTGTCTCCAAATCAGGCAAGCCAAAAATACAAATCGAAATCCGCCACTCACCCCTCAATCTCGACCCCTCCCCCACTATCTCGTCCCCATCAAAACAATACTCGCTAAATGCCATCTACCCGACCCATTCCATGTCCTCCAACCCCGCTACCCCAATATCTCCTTCTACAGACGCAAGTCCATTTATGAGTGCACGCAATACCGCTTTTCAAAAAGCATCCGCCGCATACAAGAAATCCAGATCCGACCCACTAATGGGTGGTGCGGCAGCCTATTATTCCCAACAAGGACGAGATGCCAATGTGCGTGTTAAAGCTGCCGAGAGTGCTGCTGCAGATGAGCTAGTGATGAGACAAACTTGGAGCGGAGGTATTGACTTACACGGAGTTGGTGTCCGCGACGCGGTAAGAATTGCAAGGGAGAAAGTCGCAGCATGGTGGGTTTCAGAGGAGCAGCGAAAAGCCAGCGGTGGATATATCCGTGCTGGAGCCGGAGAAGGATTTAAAATCGTAACGGGAGTAGGAAATCACAGCGAAGGCGGGAAAGGAAAGTTGGGTCCAGCAGTAGCGAGAATGTTGATTAAAGAAGGCTGGAAAGTAGAAGTGAGAAGTGGTGCTCTTCTTGTCACGGGTGTGGTGGGGAAGTGAGGAAGTGAGAAAGTAAAAGTCGAAGGTATCCTTTCCATTTTTATCCTCTCTCTCTCTCTATCTATCGATAAAGAAAAGTTGTCCTCCCTGGCACTTGGACAGCGTCAATTAGTGGGAAAGCGTTACAATGGCCACATAGAGCGCTTGGATACAATGGCCGCATAGAGCATTTGAATACAGCGTTTGTTTAGAGCGACAGCATAGAGCATTTGAATTTTGGAAATGGGCTACTGGATATCTCAAAAAACGAGCTTCTCACATCAGAGCCACAAGCGAACATATAGAAGTCTTCTCTTGTCTATTGGATACGAAGGCACATAAGCGAGCTATACTTTTAGTGAGAGTGTATTGTAGAGCGTAAATATTTGTATTTAGTACATTAGCGATAAATGGTAGATAGATAGATGGATGATATTAAGAATAGGGATAAAAATTATATTTAAAATGGAAAGTTTGATGGAATTTCTCTTTTGATAATGCATGTGTTTCTCGTTTCTCGTTTGAAGTTTACTCTGGATTTGGGGCTGATAACTGGTTATATAGTAGTACATCAAGAAGTCTTATTCATACTTTAATGTACAGTACTGTGCTATTTCTCGCTAGTGCATGCTAGAGTTAATCCATTCCCAAGCTCATGCTCATTTACAATCATAATCTCATAAGCTCGTCTATTCCCACTCCAATTTCTCTTCTTTCCTCTTCTATCTCCGTTCTACATTCCTCATTCATTTCCCTCTTCCTTAACCACACACCACACACCACACACCACCAATATACACCTCACTCACTTCAAACTCGCCACCCCTCCCTCAAACTCCCCAACATCATACTCATCAGGATACTCCTCCATAACCCTTCTCAACTCCTGCATCTGCGCCTTCAAGTCCGGCGTCATCTCCTTATACACATCCTCAAACATACTTTTAATCGGGGGTTTCTTTTCTTTTTCCGCTTCGCTCAGTGTCTTCAAGACTTCTTTTTTGATATTCGTTCTAGCTTCTATTTCTTTGGCTTCGTCCCATACATTTCTTTTCTCGAGGTATTTTCGAAGTCTTGTTATGGGATTATCACGACGTTTCCAATCTTCTACTTCGACACGTGCGCGGTAGGCGAAGGAATCGTCAGAGGTACTATGGTGGGATATTCGGTAGGACATTGCTTCGATGAGGACGGGTCGTCCACCATCTTTTAGTGCTAGTTCGCGCGCTTTTTTGGTTACTTCCAGTACGGCCCAGATGTCGTTCCCATCGACTCGGATGGTATCGATTCCGTAACCTGTTCCTCGGCTGGCAATTCCGTCGCCGCGGTACTGTTCGAGTGTTGGAGTGGAGATGGCGTATCCGTTGTTGCGACATATGAAGATCACGGGGCAGGAACGTGTAGCTGCTATGTTGAGAGCACCGTGGAAGTCACCTTCAGAGGCAGCTCCTTCGCCAAAGTAGCATGCTACTACTCGTGGAGGGAGAGATGGGTTGGAAAGACGTTGCATTTTCAATGCATAAGCCGCACCGGCAGCATGAGGGATTTGAGTTGCGAGGGGTGATGATATGGAGTGCTGTATTTATTAGCCATTGAGTCATTTTTCCCCCAATTTCTTGATATCAAAGTTGGGTAATAGTTGAGGAATACTCACAATATTCAGCTCCTTACTTCCATAATGCACCGGCATATTCCTTCCCCTTCCCTTATCCTTCCTATTAGCAAAAAGCTGGCTCATAAAGTCTTCAAGCGTATATCCCCTCTGCATAAACACTCCCGCTTCTCTGTACTGACTAAAAATCACATCATCTTTTTCCAATGCAGCTGCAGAGCCCACACATGTACCCTCTTCACCCTGACTCGGCATGTAGAATGATAAACGTCCTTGACGCTGCGCTTCAACCATTATAACATCCATGATAGATACTCTGACCATGTTGAGATACATTTCTAAAGCCGCTTCATCTGAAGGGAGCACGACGGATGGATCGAGAATATCGCCGTCGGGAGACATAGTGCGGTAGGTTGGGATAGCGGTATAGGTTGAAGGATATTCGAACGAGAGTGAAGATGTAAATTTGCTGTCTACCGCTCCAGGGAATCGTACTCTATTGCGTCGTTAGCTATGTTGTACTCTTGTTCCGAGCAATGGAACTTACCCTGCAGAACCAGGCTTCTGGCTCGGACCCATAGTAGAATGGCATCTTCCCAACCATATTCCATTCCTTCTACTTCTCAAAAACGATGTAGATATTCCCCCTTTACCACGTCGTAAAAGACATCCTCCAATTCGTTGTGAATTCATGGCCGCGTTCTTGCCTGGTTGCTTACTTGCTTACTTGCTTACTTGCTTGCTTAACTCCTCAACTAACAATATCACAACTGAACATAAATTCCCATTCACAAGCAAAACAGATAAATCTCAGAAAATCAATCTCAAGAACTCAAGGAGGATTCCTCAGTATCATCTCCATTCAAACTCAAAAATGAATAACAAGTAAAACCGAAAATATAAGATCAACCAAATACTGGGGACTCCAACCCGTGCTCACAAAACAAGGCTGAAATCTGGGGTACAATGCCGTCGCTAACCGATCCACTCCTATCCCTTGTTCAGTAGCGCATTTCATCATAAGAAAGTGGAAGAAGGAGAAAAAACTTGGCGAGGCTGACGAGGCGAGAAATTTCACCCATCACTATTTGCTGGAGCTTTTGAGTTCTATTACATCACGTCTTCCCAACTGGCTACTTCCGAGTGGATTTATGGAAACTTGTATATCAATGGCGTGTAGAACAGCTTTCAGACCTTTAACTAGGTCTGCTAGGACGCAATTCCAATCCGCGTATTCTTTAAGATGTTTTTCCAATTCGATTATTCGACAAGTCGAGCCATCAACCACACAATCATCATTCGCCGGCTCGTCAAATAGTGATAATGGACGAACTACACATTTTGGATACGAGACAGTGCCAGAAGCAGAAAAGGAAGCTAGAGGTACGTTTTCCGCAACGTTAATAGTGTAGTGAGTGAATTGAAATCTAATGTAAATTGTACGGCCAGTTCGGGGAGTTTTTAGTAGTGTCGCAGCCTCGTATGATACTATGAATGATTTTATGTCATTGGGAATTCATAGGTTATGGAAGTATGTATATTCATTTACATTCCCTTCCCGACTCTCGCTTGTTGCATAACAAATACTAATTGAGATGCAGAGACCACTTTGTGCGCTCCATAAACCCCGGTTTCACTCCTCCCTCCTCATCCACATCCGCGACCAACCCCGGCTGGAAAATGCTAGACATAGCCGGCGGCACCGGCGACATTGCCTTCCGCCTGCTTGACCATGCCACTAACATAAACGCCTCCCCCTCCTCCACTATAACCATTTCCGACATCAACCCGGAGATGCTCGCCGAAGGGCGCAAACGTTCCCTCCAAACCTCCTACGCCCACTCCCCCCGTCTCAATTTCCTCCTCGCTAACGCCGAATCCCTCCCTATGATACCCTCAAACTCCCTAGACCTCTACACAGTTGCCTTCGGAATCCGCAATTTCACAAATAAATCCGCTGCGCTGCGGGAAGCGCACCGCGTCCTCAAACCGGGTGGTCTATTCGCTTGTTTGGAGTTTTCGGGTGTGACCAATCCGTTGTTCAATGCGGTTTATAAACGTTGGAGTTTTGGCGCCATACCTTTGATTGGTCAATTGGTGGCGGGGGATAGAGATAGTTATCAATATTTAGTGGAGAGTATTGAGAAGTTTCCTAAACAGGAGGATTTTAGAGATATGATCAAGGAGGCTGGGTTTGTGGTTCCTGGGAAGGGATGGGAGGATTTGACGGGTGGAATCGCAGCGATCCACAAGGGAGTTAAACCTTTAGAAAAGTAAGTTAGTAGGGGACTATCATATTTACTGGACTGTAGTGAAAAGCATTTGTGATGTGGATGCCACCATGAGGTCGAATTATCCAAACTCACTGCAGGCAGCTTAGCAGTATGTGAGAAGACATGTAAGCCCAAGCATGGAAACTGTATACTTACGTTATTGTAATATCACAAACGGAAGGATCTCTAACAAACTAGACTCGCCAACCGCCACAAAATCTCAAACATTTACTAAAAATTTATTGGTATTTTCTATGCTTCTGCAATCATTTGACAACTACCCTCGTTCTGACACTCTGCAACCACCAACTTCCCATTCTCTCGTTTTCCCCTATTGGAATTGAGGTAAAAACTAGAATACATGTGCAACGCTATTCATTCGATTCGTTTCGATTATCTCATTCCATAATGAGATAGATGATGTGATGCGACTCAAAGCTACCCGTATCAAAAGTACAGATGCGAAGGAAATAAAACGAACTAGTAGCAATCATCGCCTGCACATAAAAACAAGGTATGAAACGTGAAGTATAAGCAAACGTTTAAACTCCACTCCGGTACCTTAAATATTTTTTGTATGAGGACGAAAAAAAAAGCCGAAATACTAATATGGCCGAGCCTCTGTCAAGACAGATATCTTCTGTTCACAATGAGTGACCATTAAGAAGATTTACTGTAGGAGAAATGACTTTTTGGTGTAAGAAAGTAATGAAGATCATTGGTGTATGATGTCGAGTATTTTGGTTGATCAAGAATCAGCTCCTGCTGGTGTTGCTGAAGCCTGAGCAGGAGATGCTCCACCTTCCTTGTTGAAGCCACCTCGTCCGCCGCGTCCTCCTCTACCTCTATCACTTCCTCGTCCACGGGTAGATCCACCTCGACTTCCTCGCCCACCGCGACCACCTTCACTGTCGCTTGCACCTCCACTTCCGTAACCCCCTCGAGGGGCACTGCTGTTGCCACCCCTGCTGCTTCCCCAGCTGCCGGCACCTCCACGGCTCGAAGAGTATGACTTACTATTATCTCTAACCTGGAATAGCTTCACCAAAGGCCTTGAACGGTCCTCACTGCTACGTTGTGTTACCTCTGAAGGTAGACGGCCTAGAGCATCATCTCTCTCCTGAGTTGTCTTGAAGACAGCAACCTTGTTCGATGTACCCCATTTATCGATCCTAATGATCTTCGCCTTATCATCGTCATGGAACAACTCTCGAACATGATCTTCGGAGGTCACGTTCATAACGAAGAGACCAATAATTTGTTCAGCTGAAGGCTTGGCTGCTGGGGACGAGTTTTCTGCGCCATTTGTAGTCGCAGTAGTTTTCTCATTCTCCTTGGCAGATGGAAGATTGACAACGTTGTTTTGGGCCGGTTGTGGTGTAGCGGGCTTGGCTTGGAATGGAGCTGGAGACTCTGCCGTACGTTCAGGACCAGCCGGTGGGGGCCTGGTCTGTTGTTGATTTTGTCCGCGTTGAACATATGGTTGCGCTGGAGGTTGTGCGGCAGGTGAACGCTGAGCTGGACCAGTAGGCGGTGCTGACGATACAAGGTTTTGGCTTGATCCAGGTGTTCCAGAGCCGGTAGCAGGAGCTTGAGCTTGCTGCTGTTGATGGCCCGGATGCTGTTTCGCACCTCGGTGAGCGAAGTTGAATCCTTGGGCTCGCATTTCAGTACCAATGCGACCATCTTGTACTTCCAAAACTAACCATCCAAAGGCAGCATCAGCCAAGTTGAAGTTCCACATATTTTTGAATGCGCTCTCATCGACTTGACCTAAAGTAGCGGCATTAGAACCACCAACAGGGCCGCCGAATGGGTTGCCTCCATGTGCGGTGCTTGGCATCTTCTCTACTATGCCAAGGGCATTGTTAAGAAGGTTTTGTTGGGCTTCATTTTGAGAAATGGCCGGTTGAACCTCGCTCTTGACAGTCTCCCATACGTCATTGAAGGAAGCTTTGGATGCAGCGAGCTTGCCCCGATAATGGTCCAAGGTAGGATTGACACTGAATTCATTGTAAGAGCTTCCATATCTGAAATGTAATCCAGCGGATATCGAGAAGTCGGCCTTGAGGGTTACTGAAAGCTGATTCAAAATACCTTCGCGAGCTGGAGATGCATGGGTGATGAATACGCGGGTTTCGGTGGGGTCGTATACACGATTGGCTGTATCTACCAACTCGCCCATTTGAAGAAGTGTAGTCCACATGGTTCCTTGCCCACCAGCAATTGTGGTTCTACCTTCGCCATTGTCAAAAAGTTTGTGCATGACAACTGCGCCGCCGAGACCTAGAAGTCTCAACTTAACACCTCCAATTTCCAAAAGCATTGAGCGTGCTTCATCAATGATGTGAAGTTTATCAACCTTGTATTCGCCCGATCTGAACTTTTCAAGAACTCGCACATCCTCGCATGCACCCCAGACTGTGTAGACTGGTACATCAAGCTTAAGACTGCCATTTAGGAATTGTGGTAACTCGGAAAGTGGGAGATCGCCAGGACTAAATCTTGACTTTACTGGCCCGCCTGGTGATGCGATTGCTTTTTTTGTAGCTTCTGAAATGAGTGGAGAATATTGGGCGACATGTTTGAGGGTCCTATTTAAATTTGTCAGTGGGGTGACCAAGGTGCTGAACAACTTGTAGAGCTCACTTTTCAGCAATGCGATCCAGAGAGGTGTCATCATAGAAACCGAAATCTCCAGTATGAATAATGTGATCCGCGCGTGCTTGCTTTGCGAGTTCGTTAAGTGATCTTAAATTTCCTTTCGAGTTGTCAGCGTTGCCTGAAAAGTCAAATCTCCAGGTCAAGCTCACCTCGTACGTCTGCCACGCACAGAACTCTCACGCCTCCAGTTTGTATGATTCTACCGTTATTTGGGAGTAAAGGAGTAGCTCCAGGTGGAATACCAGTATGACCTGCTACAGCACCATTTGGCATATAAGCTTGATTATAGCTGGGTTGTTGTGGAGGGAGTCGTTGCTGAAACATTGGATCTGTTAGCTTTGGATGTGCTGGAAACTTGTGGAAAAGAGAAGAGTGACTGAGACGTTTCCCGCCAACCAAAGAGCTTGCCAGAGTCATTTTTCGACTGTTGAGACGGTAGAGAAGGTGGAAAAGAGAATGTAAGGCCCAGGATTATGTTTGAAATGGTTTGTCAACTTACAGAATTGGCCATAATTTACAGATTGTAATGGTTCCAATAGGATAAGGAAGGAAGGGAGAGGTGAAATATTTCTATGCGCTTTCTTCGTGGGAGTTGGTAGGTACGATGAATAAATTAATTAAAGTAACTAAAGGAAGGAGGTATGTAGAAAGGTTTTCGTTGAAGGGGTAGCTACCTTTTTTAATGGTTGAAGTTGAATGGATCTCTTTCGCGCGGCTTACAACCAAAATTGGAAACCTAAGGAAGACAACATCCCTGCAAACTTCACTTGATTTGGTGGCCAACACTTTCTTGCCTTAGACCTCACTTCGAACTTCACTCCAAACAATGATTTTCAACAGTTGCAATTGATAATCGATACAAGAACTTAGGGGCCTGGTATCAGAATGTATCCGGTATACTTCGACGCTCTTATCGACAATGGAATATTATATCTATATCTACGTACATGCACTTCTTCAATCGCTTCTAGGTGGACTGGTTAACTCTTTTGGCGGTAAGCTAATAGGGGCGAGCAGGACAGGAGTAAGTCAATGTCTGTGGCCGGTGGATGTACTTGGGTATTGTCAAGAAGTATTTTGTATGGATAAGTATCAACATATTCATTCCCGTTTGCCAGTGCCTACAGTCAAGGCCTCTGGCAATATACATGGATGAACAGTAGCCACTTGCATCCATTCGTTTACCCCAAGAATCAACATCTTCATTGCCATTTGGCCATCTAAGGCTTATATTGTCAAGTGCTTGTATACATGGGGTGGGCAGGAGTTAGTTATTTAATTCGAAGCATCAATATCTTCGCTGCATCTTGATATCTATCTATAGCTTTGTGACATTAGTGTAGCAACTGCCTATAAAAGCCGACAGGCAGTGGGTAACCACGAATTATATATGAACTAAAGCAATGCTGCAAGCGCAAAAAGAAGCATGTGTTGAAAACAAGAGACATCAAGTACAACTCATCAAGTACCTCAGAGCGAAGAAGCAATGAAGATACAGGTCACCCGACTGGATAGATAGATCTTTACCCTCTCTTCTCCTCTTCATCTGTTCCGTGGTCAAATGAGGGATGGGAGCCTCACCTCTTGCCTAATCCTTTGCATTCTATCTGAGTTCAGTATGTGGCAAACAAAATGTCATCAAATTTTCATAATCTGCTTTTTCACATATTGCTTATCCTCGACCTTGATCCTCTTCAAGCGTAGTTTATTTAGTCCGTCGCGTAACAGTATCTACAACCGTCAAGTTTACGGGCAGATGTATAGAAGCATCTCCATATCATTTTCTAGTATCGTTTTTGTCTTCAGAACTTTCTACAAATCAGCGATGGACTACTTTCCTGCCTTGGTGACTCTTATAAATATCGTTCAATCTATTCTTAAAAGGTTAAATCTTACCCGCCACGGGTTTATATATTAAATTAATGGCCTATTTGATAATTGAAAAATTCTAATATATATATTTGAAGAGTAGTATTTGAAATTTTAATTTATATAAGATTTTGTTATTATTTAAATAATAAATTAATAACTCAAATTTGAAGAAATTATATTAATAAATAAAGTTATTTTTTTTTAAAAAAAAAAGACTTTTATAGTCTTTGTAGTATTAATTGTAATTAGATAAAATCAATTATAAATTTTTATTATTATTACTATTATACTATCAATCAATAATAATTTATAAAAAGCAACTAGTTGTTTTTCAATTCGGTTATCAAACACCATCTAAGGTGGCGGGCTGTATTTACTTAACGTTTACAGCTCTTGATTTCGCAACTTTCAACTTCAGCCTTGTATAAATAGAATCAACTGAGCTTGATATTACCGACTTTTCGACTCAAAAAACACAAATGCCTAGGCCTTCTCCACCTCGAAAACATCTTCTTTTAACAATGACGGCGAAACAGAAATTGGAGAAGCTTAAGAAGTATGATGCACTCTCATGATCTTCATGGCGCTTTGCTAATTCAATCTAGGGTTCTGGGCTACACTATTGTTCATGTCAAAGTGGGAGATGACCTCAAGGACTTCGCCATTCATAAAGACCTCATCTGTCACTATTCAATTTATTTTAAAGCTGCTTTCAACTCTGGGTTCGAGGAATCTATCACTGGTATCATGAAACTTCCGGAAACCAAGCCTAAAGCTTTCGAATTATTCTATCATTGGCTTTATACCCAGGATCTGGACTTACCGCTGTGGGAACCAACTGCGTTGACAGTGAAGGCAAAATGCAAAAATACTAAGTGCTGTCATTGCAATCTATACAAGATCGATGATGACAACGATGCCATCGACGATATCAGCGATAGTGACGATAGTGACATCATCAATAACATCGATGATAGCGATGATAGCGATGATAGCAATGATACCGATGATAGCGATGATAGCGATGATAGCGATGATAGCGATGATAGCAATGATAGCGATGATAGCGATGATAGCAACAACAACGATAACGATTATTCCAATGCTTTCTACGATGATTGCCCTGCAATTGCCTTCTACAAAGGACAAATCAAAACTATTGTCATGCTCTACGTCTTTGCCGATATGGCCCAAATCCCTACTCTACAGAACAACTGCATGAAGAAGCTCTACGAAACAACCAGAAGAGCATCTTATGTGCCTACCGAGGAGCTGGCGTATATATGGGAGCATACGCTTGAGACCAGCTTGCTTCGGAAAGCAATGATCGATATGTTGACGTGGGAGTGGAATGCCAGGGAGTTCCCCTCTGAGATCGATACCATACCAAATGTCGTAAAAGATGAGGTTCTCATCTCAATGAGTCGTTGTATCCAAAGGATAGGTCCGTTGCATAATGATCTCAATCCTCTCAAAAATCTTACAAATTATTATGTTAAGGTGGGAGAGGAATCTACTTAGGCTCATCAACTATGTATAGGATAGCATTCTACCCTATGGTTTCTTGCCACAGAGTATACTTACCATCTATTAGGAAGCACAGCGATATTTGTGGTCAGAGACAACACTGTTCTTGGTGGCTGTAGGCAATCTTTAGCATCTCATATGATCGTACCTCAAATTTGCTCTTATAGCAGACCCTAAATTGATTGCTTTGTCAATTTTCAATTTTCCAGTTTCAATATGACCATCTTAATTCAGACATCTTATCGTGACATATTTTCTTCTCCCTACGTTCCAGATTCTTCATTTTAGCCATCTACTTAGCCAAGTTCAAGGATTTATCTCCTTAATATCAGGTCTCAAAATAAAGCCCCCAGAATTCCATTATTGTTACTCAGGGAACTGCAACTTTGTAGCACAAGGCCTGTCTGACTCGTTTCTTATAATCTGCCCGAGCTATATTCATACCCCAGATGAGATTTTCAATAGTTGCAAGAAAAAAGAACAGCTATGCGCAAACAAGACGTGATTTCTGCAATTTCAAGTAGCATTCAGTACGTTTCTTTCTGCAGTTATTCGTTTCTCCTATGGAATTAGAGGAAGCTTACTGCTATGATTGGAATTTCTAGGGATCTAGTAGCAAAGTGGTTCTTTCATATGCAATGCCAAGTGGTCGGATTCATCCGGGGGAAATATATACCGTAGAAGGTTACTCTTGGAGCTAGTGTGTTCGAGTGCGAGCTTATGGTAGAAGGAAAGGTTTATATCCCATTTTTTCTTCTTAATTTTTTGGGTTTCAGTTTATGAATGGAACGCGTTATGTATGCATCTTTTCCTATATCCATTATCTTTAGATCTCGTAGTCCCCTACATTCTCAGAACATTCGCATAATTTCAAGCATTTTCTCGGTTTCTGGTTTCCACACTGGACGATGAATCTCCGGATTTGACTCGACGTAAGCGAATTGCTCACCGGGAAATTTGGCGCCGCATGTGTTCCCACGGAAGAGAAGTTGGATCTGTTCTGTTTTCTTGCCTTGAATATCCGCCACTTGAGGCATCCATCCCAGTGCGAATAGGTAGAGAAGGTGTAAGTATCACGAGACCAAGGCTTTTAGCTGCCTGGAGCTTGCATCGCGGCATTTGAAGCAGAGTTTATCTTTCGATTTCTCAAAGATTTGGGAAAGCTGGCACACATGGTGTTTTAGACCCTGTAGAGCTTGAGCGAATTAGAGCTTCGTCTTTCTCAGCTAAGGTTGTGGGGTCCCCTTCTAGCAGACTCTCCTTCCTCGGTATCATTGGGGCCTGGCTTTGCCTTTAGATATGAAATTATATCATCGAATAGTACCATATTGTATTATCGAGAAAAACACACGCGAGATGCAGAGGATATTCTACCAACACATAAGTTCGACAAATTATACAGTAGGATTTTAGTCCTAGGCTCCAAAACAAGGAGAGGTATAAATCTTATTGACTGCTCTATCACCGATTTGCATAAGATATTTCCAGTTCCCAATTTCTATCCACAGTAGTTTATAACTGAATCCTTTCACAACCAGAATGAAGCACCCAGGGTCATCTCGACGTTGTTGTCTGATTCTTCCGAATCACATTTGGAAATGCGATTTGAAAGAACTTTACAGATTATTACAAATGTTTTCTACGCTATTCCAAGTCAGGGTTGAGGTAGAACAAGCATTTCTCCAAGCATCCGCAGCCTTCGTTTCTTGTCATTGCTACCTTAGTCTCGAAAATCCGACAAATGGCATCAAATGGCAACTTACCTCGGGCTACTAATTCTGAAAGCAACCACGTCAACAATTCAATCATTAACTCTAGATTTCGTCGCCAACAGACGAAAAGAATTAATTTATTGCATCTAGAGAAAAGCTCCGAAACTCTATTTCAAAATGAGAGGAGATAAAGCTGCCCGGAAGCTCATCCAGTAGGTCTGAGTTCTTCTCCGTTTCCCATGGCTTTAATGATATACGCAGCCCAAATAATGACATGAGAAGTTTAACAATTACCAGATCCATGGGACGCGAGGTTGTTCATATCAAGGTTGGAAAGGATTTACAAGATTTTGGTGTACACAAAAGTCTTATTTGCCATTACTCTCCTTACTTCAAAGCTGCATTCACTTCCGGCTTCGAAGAAACAAGCACCGGCATCATGAAACTTGGCGATGTTGATTTAGACGTGTTCGAGCTTTTTTTTTACTGGTTATACACGCAAAGACTTAACAAATGGCGAAATGAATCTCAGTTAAGCTTAGAGAAAGCAATAATAAATGCGGGGAACGAGTCAAAGCAAAGGTAAGAAAACATCTCAGCAGAAAATAAACCCCTCATTCAGAGGAGCGACTAGAAATTAACCAAGTCAAAAGATCTCGTATTCGTACTCTTCTGGAACTTTACGTCTTTGCAGATATGGTTCAAGTACCAGCTATCAAGAACAACTGCATCAAAGAATACTACGAAATGGCCATACCCGAAAAAGAATACCTTACCGAGCGGAAAAACTTAGCGTATATCTGGGAGCATACAAACGAGAGCGATTTGATTCGCAAATTCATGGTTGACTTGATAGTCTGGGATGTGCCCGAAATATCAGTTGAGAACAACTTGTCTCAGTCGCCTGTGGAAGTAATCATTTTGGTCATTTTCGCCATGAAGAAAATTATTGGCCATGCTCGCACCGAATCGGTACAATTGGAAAAGCGGAGACCAAAGTTTAGGAGTCTTCCATCTTTGATCAGCCCTCTAGGAGATCTAACCAAGTATTATGTGAAGGTCAAGACAGAAAATTTCCAAGACGGGGATGCTTTATATGTGTCGATAGCTGAGATGTTTGAAGAGGAGTATGAAGTGGAGGATATTCTGGACTCTAAATTGGTGGACGGTTCACTTAAGTACAAGGTTAAGTTGGTTGGATATTCGCACGATGATCAATATTATCCTGCGGATGATTTTGCCGGTGGCCGAACACTTCTTACTGCTTTTCATCAGAAGTATCCACGGAAGCCTGGACCTGCGGAGAAATAGATCTGAGCCTCTCTGACCCCCGTGGGCCGAGAGTGCAGGCCGTTAGATTTTAGAGTCCTGTCAACAGAGGAAGTTGCGAGATTAAGCATCATATCTTGCGTATCACCGTGTGCCATAAGTAGCTTGTGCAAATAGGTTTCCAATTTTGTGAAAGTTCATGAATATCATTCAACTTTGCTTCATTATTTTAGCATCTTTCGAAGAGTGTCTACGAAAGGAATGCATTGCTTGCCACAGATGCATTAGATGGAGAAGACCTTAGTGTATGGTTTGTTGCAGTACGATCATATAGCTCACAGCTTTTGAAATAGGGCTTTTGAAATTGGGCTAGTGCCTAACAACACTTTGATAACCCTCATGATGAAGCCTCCTAGATCCTACAAATCTCTGCACACTCTCCCATCCGACGCTACAGTCACAAGATCACTCCCAACCGAAGTATGAGCATACAAAACAAGGTTAGGATCATAAGATAATTTCACCTTCAGCAGTTGATCGTAGTTTATGCCATAATAATCTTTCTTCCAGGTCGGATTGTCAAATGTTGCTTCGTTCATGTATGCTCCTCCACCTGGTGTCAACGTCTTGAACTGATCTTGAAATTTATTCACCTGCGCTTGAATCTGGTGTATCGTTTCCGTGGAAGCCGCCTGGTCGATACCGACATCAACATTTAACCAATAGAGAGAATCGCGCCATGCGGGGAGAACAGCGTTAGAGCCCACGTCGTTTCCGACTCGAGAGTGCGTGACGTTAGCTGCTATGCCGTTTATTCGTAAGGATGTTGCGGGGATTCCGTTCGTGCTGATAATGTCTTTGAAAATAGAAATTAGACTGGTCACATTATTCTGGACGGTCGAGCGTGGGATCAGGCGGCCCCCAATAATATCGTTTGTCGTATAAGGTCCATAGGGGAGGCTTCCAGTGTAGTGCTCGTAGTGATCATAGAAGTTTGGTCTATCGCTCGTTTCATATGCTGCAAATGTTATGTTCATCGCTTGAACCTCGTTTATGTATGAATCTAAAGCTTCAGCCATAGCCAAAGAATTTCCACCGGGCCAAGTGGCAAATTCAAGTTCGAAAGCGTCGCTTGTGAAGCCCCAGACTGCAGTGAAGCCTGGGATTCGGTCTAGAAATAAAAGATGCTTCTGCCAAGCCTCAATTGCAGACCAGTACCTGCTATCCCCGGTATTGTTAATGGTGAAAGATCCACCCGCAACTATACCATCAGCATGCGCTTTTGTGGTAAGAGAGATTACTACAGCGTACGTTCCTCCTCCACCACCGCTAAGTGCCCAGTAAAGATCTGAGTTTTCCGTGGGTGTGGCGATAAGATGGCGACCATCAACAGTCACAACCTCGAATTCTAGTGTGTTGTCTGCACCGAGACCATAGGCTGCTCCAAGAGGACCATGACCCCCACCTTGCACATACCCACCAGCCATACCTACAGTTGGACAAAATCCACCTACAACTCTCAGACCGTTCTCAGCAGCAGTCTTGTAAGCTTCGAAAAGTTGGACTCCAGCTCCGACTTTTGCCGCAGGACCAGTGTAATTAGCGCTGGTATAGTTGAGAAATGATATATCTTTGAGGTTGTGTGTCCATAGTGCAAGAGACCCATGGCCGTTCGATCTGCCAATGTAATCATGGCCAGTATTCTTTATTGTGACTCGTATGTTGTTTTTCGTGGCGAATTTCAAGCCAGCGAGGACGTCATTAGCACTGCTCACGTTGATGGCATAAGAGGCTATGTTTCCCAAATTGCACGATGCATTTACAGAAGTAAAAGGACTGCAAGAATTATTCAGCCAGTATGGCGCCATAACATTGACGGGATCAGTGAAACTTTGTGCTTGAAATTAGCTCGAGACGTTCAAACAAAATATGTATCGGCTTTGGGATACGAGTTAAAACTAACTATGTGAGCGGTGCTGTCCATGTGTCTTCTATCTCTGTGCATTCAGCCAAGTTATAGTCAGAATTGTGGCAGACTCGAGCCAAAGGTTTTCCGAGAATGAGCCTTCCACCAACGGATTGGTTTAGATTCTTCCAATCCACAGGGCCGGGCCATTGAATATCTGTTGGAAGGTAGTGACAGCTGCTACCTGATTGACCAGATTCGTTGTGTTTTATAGCTGGTGCTGCGATCGCTGAAGGAAATGCGAGCAGGGCCGCGGCTGCGGCTACAACATATGGTGACTTTGAATGCATTCTCAGCAACACGGAGGGATATATTGAAGATGAAATGATATGAAAACTATTTAAGAAAACATTCGAGTAGCTCACAGGAGCGGAAATTCGAGTGCTGCGGTTGTTTTTGTGATGATTTGAGCAACCCTGAAACAACTTCTATCCACCTCCATTAAATAGTAGTGCCGTGTGAAGTCTACGATGTATAAGTGATGGTGAGCAAGTAGTCAGCCGTAAGCAAGTGTTACGCCGCTACAATGACGTCCGACGTAAGAGCAGGCCGGTATCAACAAATTGTGCTGGGTACTCGGTCTGGAGCAGATAATAGATAGCGATGGAATCCATGTTGTTTCCCCTATTGTTTTACTCCGACATGTCCTTTCGGTGAGAATATCGTCGAAATCCGCAGTCCACCCCGACCAAAACTTGGGTGTTTACGACAATATCGCACGGATTTGGTGGACGTGGGATAGGGGAGGTAGTGAATCCTTCCCCTTGGCACGATGATGCGGAGGAAAAACTTTGCGCCGCATCTTCACTCAATTGAGGCTGCGACCGATTACATTGAATTACTGTTTTCGACGAACAAACCTTAACCTTATTATTATTATTATTATTTGATGCAAGGTCAGCATAAGCGCGGCTGACTGCTGATTGTGCATGACTAGACTAGTTGGTACCCACAAATAAAACCCAAGTGATTCGCCTTCCGCCACTCAAATCATGCCATCGCGCGCTTCCATGCAGAAAACTGCACCACAAAGGTACCTCATTAAATTTCCCGGTAAAGTTGCGCGTCCTTTACATACAAAACGTGCTTCGCAAGTTTTGTATGTTGTATGTGGAAGCGGGCGAAAGCCCGCCTCGCTACCTAGTTTGGTGTCTCATGCAGGCCGCTGACCTTGCATGAAGCTTGTCGCATCGATCCGTACCTGCAATTGCCGTCGCGGACATGTTCTGCTGCTTCAATTCCATTTGTATCAAACATATCGGTAATAGTAATACTCACATGGAAGTCAAGTGCTCAGAATTTTGCACAACGACACGATGAGTTTAGTTAACCTAGAGCATGCAATGTAATAATGTAACCTCTGTCATCCACTACCACTATAATGTCTGAGTCTGAAGCTCATCGCCATGAATCTTTCCACAATATAAAGGATGCTTCTCTGGCTTCTTAAACTTTAATTCATCAATTTGACACCGGCACTTATCTCAACAATTCCTTCTTAAACATAATCCTCTGCATCTATTCCGATTCGACATCAAGGCAATATGGCACCAACTATTGTCCTTATCTCTGGCACTAACAGAGGCATTGGCAAGGGTATCCTCGAGCTTTATCTTTCTAAACCAAACCACACTGTTATTGCCGCAAACCGCGATCCGAATCATCCTTCATCAAAGGCACTCTCAGATTTGCCTACAGCTGAAGGATCTTCTCTCATCGTCGTCAAAGTTGATGCTACTGCCCCTACAGACGCTCTTGAGGCTGTGAAGCAATTGGAATCCCAGGGCGTTGATCATCTAGACATTGTGATTGCTAATGCTGGAGTCTGCTACGCCTGGCCTACAGTTTCAGAAGTGAAAGTCGAGGATATCCAAGGCCATTTTGTTCCAAACGTGCACGGCTTTATCTGGTTGTATCAGGCCACACTTCCCCTCTTGAAGAAATCTAAACTTGGAAAGTTTATATCCATCGGTTCTTCCGCGGCATATCTCACGGTAAGATTGCTATTCGTTTTCGATTTGCTATCGCAGCTGTTGGCTAATAATGATTTATATAGTATTTGATTCTCTCCTCGTGTGACCACGAGTATTTTAAACAAATCACGTATATTAATAGCTCACAGGAACCAACTAGACATGCCAAATTCGGCGTATGCGCCTTCTAAAGTGGCCGCCCACTGGCTGACCAAGGCCATTCACCGCGAAGAACCCAGCCTTGTTGCTTTCCCCATCGATCCTGGGTAAGCTGGGCCCACTGATTACTTTTTAATTTTGATTTTTGCTAAGACGACGTTAGATGGGTTCAAACTGATCTCGGAAATATCGGTGCTAACCACTTCGGATTCGAGCAAGCTCCTCTTGGAGTTACAGAGTGTGCCACTGGATTGGAAAAGGTCATAGCTGCTAGTACTAGAGAAACCCATGGAGGGAATTTGTTCAAGTGGGATGGTGAACTCCTTCCTTGGTAATAGGAGTCACATAATAGCCACTCAGAGAATGCTCAGACGATACACCAAGCGGGTTAAGAAGAAATATATATTTTTCCGCTATATCAGACATATATCGAAACCTGCTCTTTAATCAAATTCTATTGATTTAATATATAACCTTTTTTTATTGTTTGAGTTGTCTCTAGACGACAATATTATTACTCTTATTCAAATCATTCTAAAGTTCATTTGTTATATATAATAATTTAATTATAAAGCATTTTATAAATACTAAAGATGCTTTATGAAATTATTTTATTTTTAATCATAAAGATCTTTTCATTTAATAATATAATATATATATATATATAAACTTTTAAATATTATATTTCTATTTGTATTTGTATTTGTATTTGTATTTGTATTTGTATTTGTATTTGTATTTGTATTTGTATTTGTATTTGTATTTGTATATCTATTTGTATTTCTATTTGTATCTCTATTTGTATCTCTATTTGTATCTCTATTTGTATCTCTATTTGTATCTCTATTTGTATCTCTATTTGTATTTCTATTTGTATCCCTATTATTCCCAATAAAGTCTAGTATTTGTCTGCAACCGTGTTATGGAAAACATGACCCAACAGCTATAGCCACGGCTTACAATCCAATATACAATGACTTCTAGACTAAACTCGCACGTGACCCACGCCCTTAGAAGTGACATGCAATCAAGCAGGTCTCAAAAAGAAGTCATAACACCGCGATTGACTGTATCAAGCTACTCAGCTTGTACGATTCTACTATCATCTTTATCATCATCACCATTACAAGTCTTGCTTGCTTTGGCATTCAGATTAGCTCCGCTGGCCAACAACAACTGAACCCCTACATCAAAACCCTTCTCAATGGCAATATGTAATGATGTCCAACCCATGTCATCATAGGCATCAATACCCTGTTCAAAATCTCTCTTATCATATTCGGACAAAAGTAATCGCAGGACTGCTTCATGTTGGTTAATGGTAGCCCAGTAAATCGCGGATCGGCCCCGTCGATCTACATCACTGATGCGAGCCCCGTGTGCAAGTAGAAGACTAACTACACTTTCGTGGCCATCTATTGATGCGTGGATCAGAGCCGTTCTCACATCACTATCTTTTTCGTTGCAGTCAATGTTGTGTGAAATTAAAGTGCGAACAATTGGTTCATGACCTCGGCGGGCGGCGATGTGCAGTGCACTGAGCCAGCCCTTGCTTTGTCCATGTACCAGCGATAAAGATCCAGCGGATGGCTCCTTGTAGTTGTGCGGTATCAGGTTTGTGCCCGGATGAATACGTGATATATGTCCAGAGTCTTCATGCTGCGCAGCGTCAGAGCGCGTAGTTATATCGGCATTGTCAAGGGTCCCATAAAAATTGAAGACGTCCAAACCAGAGGAACTGCTCGGTGGTGTATTTGAAGCGTTTATGGAGATGAAATCCATGCTTGGGTCGAAATTTGAGTGGAAAGTGGCCGTCGTCTGCGGTGTCGAAAGCGAGCTATTACTGCCCGATACTAAACTCTCTATGAAGCCGATATCGTCTATTCCCGAAACATCATTATAAGGCGCGACATTTTGGAAGCCGTTCATCGAACCGTCAGATGTCTGGCCAGAACTGGTTACTCCATTGAGATGATCAGGAGGGAGGGGACCAAGGGATGCGGAATTTTGGAAGCCTGGGGCATCTGCATCGACAATTGAATGAGCACCTTCAATGGATAGGGGCTGATTACTATTATGTCCAATTTTTGATATCTTGCGCGACTCTGGGTTCTTGTTAGGCTATGATTAGGTTGACATTTATGAACAAGAAACTCACGACGAAACTTGCGTTGTGCAATGCGGTTTTGTGACCTGCGACGGCTATCAGAGTCAATCCTCCACTCAATATCAAGCCCAACCATTCTTGCAACACAAAGAACGGCAACGAAATATGCATGCAGAGCCTTAGCAGCTCTGAAGCAATAAGTTGGGGCATTTCAGAACCAACGTGATATTTGTTGGTATTGATTGTGGATCCGATGCTTGATTGATCGACCGTTCTTGCATGCCCTTGTAATGATGCCATGTTGCAACAGGTATTCGAAATAATATACTCTCCCAGATGGAGATGGTGGGGGTTGGCATTCATGGGAGAAAGTGGGGGTTGGCAGGGAGTGATGAGGGCAGTGTTAGATAAGATCCCTAGGAAGCAAAATATATTTTTCAAAAGTATTTTTCATTAATTTTGATCATTCTGAAAGGAAAAGTGGGTCTAAAATTGATCAAGTTTTAATTGAAAATTTTTTTTAAAAGAATTATTAAAGATTTATCTCCTTAGAATTCTCAATGGTTATGATATACTATGAAAATGAGGTTCGCTTAAGGTTGCGATCTGATTGACCGAGAAAATGAGTCGCGATCTGAGCGTTTTAATTGATCATAATTCAAAATAAACTTTCTCTTAGCATTCAATAATAATATCTATATATATCTGACTTGGAAATTTTTTCAATCTATTCAATCTATTCAATCTACATCAACTTTTATCAGCCGTTGTCAAAATTCACAATTAAAATCAATAATTTATTACTTTTATAAATAAAAATTTTTAATATTGATTTATTATATATTAAAGAATTAATATATTATGTTTTTATTTAATTAAAAAAATTGAAATATAATTATTTATATAATTCAAAATATTATATTAAAAAGTTTTTAATTTTTGTTTATTTTATTAATAAATATTTAAAGAATTTGTTTTATAATTTATATAGTTTTCATTAAGGAATTTTATAATAAATAAGATTTTTATAAATAAATAATTCTTTTTTTATTTAATTTCATTTGAAAATAAATAAAATATTAAATCTAATAATATTAAATTTATAAATATTAATTAAAGATTTTAATAAATTTTAATAAAATTTATAAAATAACTAATAATAATTGATTGATACTATATTCAATTTAAGTTTATTAAATCTATTAAATCTATTAAAATAATCTTCAAACTTTTAAATAAAAATTAATAAATTTTTATTATATATTAAAATATTCTTATAACATTATAAAATTATATATAATAAAAAATTAAATAATCTTAAACTAATTTCAAAGTAATTATCTTTGAATAAAATAATTTAATTCAAAAATAAAATCATTTTTGATTTTAAATAAAAATTTAAAATCAAAATTAATTTAAACTTTTATAAAAGTTTTTTTATATTAATTTCTTTTTCTAATTATACTCTCTCTTAGTATTATTAGTTTTAATTATTATAAATATATACTATTTATTTATTATATTTGAATTATAATAACAAATGATTTAATAAAATTTTAATAATAATAATATACTTCAAATAATTATTCAAAATTATTTTGAGTTATATTATATTAATTATTATTAATTGTAATAGTATATAAAAAAATGAAGTTTTAATATAATTTATATGATATTTTTATTGATTTTTTTAAAGAATTCAAATTGTAAAAGCGAAGATATCACAGACTCGATATAATAGTTTCAGGAATCAAATTTATTAATAAGATATTGTAAGAAAGTTGAAATTATAGATTAAATACATAGAGGTTTTTAACCAATCAATTATATAACTTTTTGTAATTAGATATAAAAGGAGAGTTTTTGTTTCTTCTTTTGAAAATAATTAACTTTCTATATATATACATTTGAATCTATATAATATCAATCTTAAAATCATTATGAACTTTGTTTTCTTTATAAGTGATATATTATAATATAATCTAATCCAGTTTTCTCTTTCAATTCCCTCCTTACAATATGCTATCGGGATGTATATATCTCGACCTACCACTTTTATAAAATAGATTTCTTAAATACAAAATATATATTAAGATTTTGAATCTTAATATCTTTATAAACTAATTATCGAACAATATTTATTCAAAATCTAATCGAATAAATATAAATTCTATAAATAATCAATTTATATAATTAAATTTAATCTTATAATAATATTCCTTTTTTCAAAACTGAGTTTTATTAAAATAATTTTAAAGATTAAGTTTATTAGAATATCAATAATTATAATTATAAATTAACTTTTAAATATTCTTTAAATAATTAATAAACTCTTTAATCAATATATTATAATTAAGTTATCAGATATTATATTTGAGATAGAGATTATTACAATTTTAATGTTTTCAATAAGAATTTAAAAATTTTTTTATTTCAAATTGTTCAATTTCTTTAATTTTTATAAATAAAGATAATAAATTATATTAATCAGAAACAAAATTATTAACAATAAAATATAATAAATTTATTTAAAATATAAAATCATTCTTTATAAAAATAAATAATTTAAACTTGTAAATATATATATATATATATAATTTATAAAATATAAAACAAATCTAGATTTTTTTAAGATTATAAGAATTTGATATTTTTAATTTTCAATTATATTAAATCTTTGATATTATATTAATGAATAAATATACAATAGAAATTTATATTCATTATATAATAAGATTAAAAATTCTTCAATAACTTTAAACTTTAAGAACAAAGGAATCGAATTTAACTAAAAGTTATAACAAAAAGAGAGTTTTAATTCTTGTTTTATTATAAAGATTTCTCCTCCTCTCTCATTATATAAATATATTATATATAGACTTATTGTATAGTAAAGTATAGTTTAGTTATAAATAAATCAAATCGATCATAAATTTACTATTATTATTATATAATAAGTTTGATTAATAATTAAATCAGTTTTTAGATATTTAATAATTAAAGATATTTTTTAATAAACTTTTTAATATCTTGAATATAAAAATGATTATTAATTATTAATAATTCAAATTCTATATCTAAATAATAATTATAATTGATAGATAATAAAATTAAATAAAAGTGATCAAGAATTCAATGATTAATAACTATTTAAATCAATTAATTTATAAATAGAAAATATATAATTAAAAATATTATTTAAATAAAATATTTATTTTTTTAATTTATTTATCAATTCCTAAAGAATATATTATTGATAATTTCAATATGATATATAGATATTTATAAATATACTTTTAAAAATTAAATATAAATTAAATTTTATAATTGAATATAATTGTTAAAAATAAATTATATTTTAAAAGTAATAGATTGAGATATATATATCTTGATAGTATATTGTAAGAGAGAATTGAAAGAGAAAGTTAAATTAAATTACTTTATAATATATTATTTATAAAGAAAACAAAGTTTATAATAGTTTTGAGATTGATATTATATAAATTCAAATATATATATATAGGAAATTGATTATTGTAAAAAAAGAAACAAAAGCTTTTTTATATTTAATTATAAAAGATTATATAATTGATTGATTAAAAACCTTTATATATTTAATTTATGATTTCAACTTTCTTATAATATAATTTTTATATATATTTTAAAAATAAATAAAATATCTTTTTAGAATTATAGATATTATAATAAAATAGAAAATGATTTTTTTAGTTGATCTATTAATTATTATAAATATTATATTATAATTAAAAATTTTTTAAAGATATATTATAAAACTGATTAATATATTTTATTATATTTATTGAAGAATTAAAAGTAAATAAAGAATATCTTTTTGATTTTTATAATTTAAAATTATTTAATAACAATTATAATAATTACAAATTCAATAGTTGATATAATTATAATATTCAAATTAATAATAATTTCAAAATAAAGATTTAAAAATATAAATATAATATAAATAGTCGGCGATAAAAGAATTATAAATTAAATAAAATAATTCAGTTTTTAGATTATTATAATTAAAAACAAAATGTTTTTTATAATAATATAATAAATTATTATTTTTGAAATAATTGAATATTTTCTTTATTACGACTTTTAAAATAGATTTAAACATTGAATCAAAAGTATATATTTCAATAAATAAAACCTTTCAGTTTTTTGAAAATTTAAATAACAAATCAAATATTAATATTGTATTAAATGTAAATAAAATATTGAAAAATAGATAATAGATATTACGATCACAGATCTTACAATAACCGTTCCTGTGTTTACAAGATACGATTTGACCAGTTTAGTATAGGATTAAGATGATGTGGGGATCTAATAAGCACAAGAGTTATTATTATTGGATCCACCACAATAACAATAATAAAATCGTATGATCAAGTAATCATATGATACTATTTCCACTAATCCTACTGATTTAAATCGATGGGAGCAGCGGGGAAGGATTCCTATCGATCCCATCGATTTTATTCAGTGGGAGAAGTGGGATATAAAATACAAAGAACTATATAGCTAGAAAAGGATTCTATTGGTATCACTTCGGTGATACGAATACAGTGCATAATATTCTTGTTGTATTTGTTCATGAATGATTATTATCTATCTAGGGGAGAGGGACCTATTTATATTGAAAAGGGTACAGACTAGAATGCACTAGTCGTACGGCTCCCTTTATGTACGGCCTCCCTTTCGAGGTTGATCACATGATGTACCGACAGATTCCTTTTGTACAACTTCGTGCTCAAGATCAATCATTTAGTATACTCTACTATTAGTTACGAATTGCAACCATTGATATTACCTCAAGCCCCTGCTTGACGCCTAGTTATAAACCATTCGAGGATCCAGGCCACTTCTACGTGATCTAGATCGCATCCCTTGTAACAGTAACCGACATCCCTACATCTTGCACAACCCCATATCTTATATTGTAAAAGTGGTAGGTCGAGATACGTGCATCCCGATAGCATGTTGTGAGGAGGGAATTGAAAGAGAAAGCTGAATTAGATCATATTGTAATACATCATTTATAAAGAAAACGAAGTTTATAATAGTTTTGAAATTGATATTATATAGATTCAAATGTATATATATAAAAGATTGATTATTATAAAAAGAAGAAATAAAAGCTTTTTTTTATATCTAATTATAAAAAGTTATGTAATTGATTAATTAAAAACCTTTATATATTTGATTTATAATTCCAACTTTTTTATAATATAAATATATTAAAAATATTTTTATTCTTGAATATACACTAATACAAGCTTTATAACATCTTGTATAACTATACTAACAGTGATTT